GATGTTAGAAGTAGTTCATATTCAATAATAATATTAGTTTTGTTAAGCTTAACCTAACTAGTGTAGGTTAGCATTTTGTCTACGTGACACTTTTTTGTGCGTATATATACAAATGTAGTTGGCAATAATTGTAGAGCAGTAAGTAATAACATAACTATTTATGCAACCGTTTTAGAAGAACAATGAAAGATACCTTTTTGTATGCAATGTGAGACTAAATATATCTAAGGATGAAAAAAATATCGGTTTGCGTGTGTATGTGTAACAAATATACTTGAATAAAATAAATAGATATTTCATCTATCCTTTAGTTAACAAAATACATAGATAAATATAATGCTATACATACTTATTTATAAAAGTATTAAAATTATAATGTTAATTAAATACAAATATTACCTATGTGTACTTATTGAGTATCCTAATTTGAGGTTATTTGTTTAATTAATAATTTTATTGTCAAAATAAAAGCGTAGAATTATCATATTTTCATTTATAAAATAATTTATTGTATCATATAAAACAAATAAATTTTATATAATTATTTATTTATCTGGACATAAATACATTTTTAATTTTTATTTTGATATTAGAGATTGAAATCCACTAAATACAATGAAAGTGTTTAGACAACTAAATTGAGTAAATATTAAATGAACTTAATTGAAATACATTATCAGTATAAAAAGGTTTTACACAGCCACTTAATTATAGGTTAGATATTAAGAAGAGTCTGACTTTTATTTTAACCACTTATAAAGTAATATAAACGAATAATGATAATTAATTTATTTTATAATTTTTTTTACCCCAATTGTACATAATAATTAATCTCATATTAAATACTGTCAACTTTGTATAAACTTTTTTCTTTGAAATAACACCAATCATAGTGATAATTTAACTTTCAACAGGAAATAGAAGAATTATAAGTTGATATTTAAGGATGATACGATACTCTATCGGGGACATATGTTGTTCTATACCCTCAATAGAGATAGTAAAGAGAAAATCTTGAGTATGTGGTGCTTGCAAACAAACAAAAACTGCTTTATGTCTTGGTTATTTCAAACTTTACTTCCATGTCCTGAACACTTTTACTAAAAATGACACTCGCCAAAACATGTCGTGCTTTAGGAGGGACAATGTTCTTTCAAGTAACACCGTTAAGGTCAAAATTTGGAATCACAACACTAAGACTATCCAAAGCTCTTTTGAAACTAAGGTCCATACCATATACCACATTGTCGCTCAAAATATGATCCTGTAACACCCAAGACTGGGACCTAGAAGCCACAAACGGATATGGAGTCACCTCTACTGCCGAGTACAGACCCAATCCTATAACTCTAATAGGTAAATAAATCCACCCTCCACTGAAAGTCCCTGAAAAAAGGATCTCCACCAACCACAATGTCTTCAACTGCCCTTCGAAACTCTTTATCAAACAAAATAGTTGCTTTCTTCATATGATTAGGTTGACATGTTTTAACGCCAAAATAGCTTGGTGATACCCATGCAAGAAAGAAGCAGAAAAAGCTCACTCTGTGAATCCCTTAGTTGTTGCAAAATATGCATGAGTTCAATAGTCATGACTATTCTCTTTAAGAAAAACCCCTTAATAAAGCCTTCATCTCGACTAATAACCTCTCCAAGCATCTTCATTACTAACATCGTCCTCCTAATGTCCGAAGGAAACAACTCCCCACAAAGTTTATTATCATCACACGAAGGCCCAAAGATCTCAGTTTTATGAATATTCAATATGAGACATAATCCTAGACGAATCTCCCGAATGATGTTAAAGGCTTTAGTCACCTCATCTGAATCCCTATGATGGTCCCATCATGGAGGTACCAAGCATGAATAAGAAACTCATAATTTTCACCGATCTAATGAATAAGTGAATGTAAAACAAGGGCAAAAAGGAGTGGCCTTAACGGGTCACCTTATTGCACTCCAATACCTGACATGATATGTTCATCCCCATGGTATAATCTTGCTGCCTGACCATAGAGAAACTCAACCCACATGAAAATATATGGGCATCTCACCCTCATCTCTCAAAGAATGATTGATCGATTTATCAGGTTAAAAGCATTCGTGAGCATAATCAGAGGTCCATCTCTATGCCACTTTCTCAACACCCTATTGGCACTGTGCAAAATGGCTTAAGCACCGTCCGATGCACTGTTTCTAAAATGGAAGTCAATGAGATATCATGCCACATCATTACCAACCCATTTCATTGTAACCTTAGATACTAACCGCCTTTAAATAGAACCCACATCAATTGGTCACATCCCACCATCAGGGTTCAATAACGGTGTCAGAGGTTACGGAGGCCACAAACATTGTCAAACTCATCAAGCATCTCCCTCCCAAACATAGGTTAACAACTAGGGTGATTGCATATAAGAGATATCTAGACACAACAAAATCTTCCCCACACATTGTGTCCAATAAATGTCGAGCTCGTAAACCATCTATACCATATGAAGTCCTTTTGGAGAATGATTTAATGCTTTTAAACCACCTGAAGACAATATTAACTTCAAACCACTATAAGAGCTTTAGAGAGAAAAGTGGTCGGCATGGAAGGAGGTGGTTTGTACGGGTGTTTAGACTCCAAAGCCTTTATAATATGTGAATTATAGGGGACTACACTAGATAACCCTAACAATTTCACAGCCACTGTGAAATGACCATCTGCAACCTTACAAAGACATTGCTTGACGTTAGAACTCACCTTTGCATATTTCTCTTTAATATAAACTCCCTTATGACCTAACTTATTTTGCTCAGAGTTACTTAACACACTATCAACTAACTTGACAAGACCATATGCATTCCTCCAAGTAGTTAGACATTCCAAATTATGACCTTGTTGCAAGAATTTCCGATTTCTAAATTTGCGATCCTGTCTATTTTGAGGCTTGACCATCTGTAAAGTACAATGAGGAAAAAGTATTAACCGAACCCAAGCACATACAGATCCCGATTCAACAACCACCAGAGTGCATCTTTCAATGCTTGAGAGAAAGCATGCCGACATTTAAGAGATATACTCTTAACAATAAAGATAAGTGTTGTGAAAACTCACTATATCAACCATGTGTCTAATACAATCTCCTAATTTACATCAAAGTTATCAAAATCTTTTGCAAATGATTTTACAATACTACAATATGACTTTCGACGTCCCTTATCCTATCAAAAGAGTAACTCGAACTAGAATAGAAATACTTTGAATAAAATAAATAGATATTTCATCTATCTCTTTTTTAGTTAACAAACACTAGTACATAGAAGAATATGTTAAGTATTAACAATTGTGAGTAGTGTGGATAATAGTCTCACATTGGATAGGAATGTGATAACTTGAGCATTTATAAGTGAGAGAACCCATACACCTATCACCTTAAAATTTTGAGTGAGTATGTCGTGTGTCTTTTGACAAAAGGTGTTGCTCTAGAAAGGAAAGTCTCACAATGTTCAATACTCCCTAGTGAAAATCTTCCCCTAACAATGTTATCGTTGAAGAGTGTCAACGCCGGTACAAGAATGCAGTTGCACAGTTGAAACTTTCGCTTAAGGGGGAACATTGTAGAAGCATTGTAGATAGACTCACACTTGAAGGGAGTGTTTAGTATTAACAAGTGTGATTAGTGTGAATAATAGTCCCACATTAGATATGAATGTGGTAACTTAAGTATTTATAAGTGAGAGAATTCATACACCTATCACCTTAAGATTTTACCTTAAGATTTTAAGTGCGTATGTGATGTGTTTTTCACAAAAGTGTTGCTATAGAAAGAAAAATCCCACAATATTTAATACCTCCAATAAAAATCTCTCCTAACAAAATATAATGATATTCATACATTTTTATAAATATAAAAATATCTGAAAGCAATACTAAATTAATATCCTAATTTGAGTTTATTGTTTAATTAATAAATTTATTATCAAAATGAATGTGTAAAATAATAATCATATTCATTTGTCGTAAAGAAACAAATTCTACATAATTATTAAAATAAATATTTATTTATTTTAACATAAACACAATTTTTAAAAATAAATTTAATAGCTAGATATCTGCTGACACATTAAAATCCACTAAATACAATGAGAGGGCTAAGGGAATATTAAATATTGTGAAAGTTTGTATATAAATGAACTTTTCATAAACTTTTTTGTTTTAAATAACACCAATGATAGTGAAAATTTAACTTTGAAATTCGGTGATGGATTACTATATTCATCTTCAATTATGAGGCTTATTAATTTTAGCTTGGAAAAAAGTGTACTTGTTTTTTATATTTTACAGAACAATAAAATAATAATAATAATGTTGCAAGTACTTGATAGCGTGTATGTATTGTACTGTTTCTGACTTGTTTATAGACATTACTTCTACTTTTCATTTTTTAATAATACTATTTTTCTTTACTTTTCTCATATATTCATAAAATAATAAAGCTGCAAATGGTTAGAACTTGTTGGTAATAGCATGCACACTGCTTCTTGCTGTTTGAAGCAAAGAGAGAGAAGAAAGAAGAGAAAGTGCTTTGAGAATTGTATACAAAAAACAAAAGAATGAAAGAATCACTGTATCAGAGTGTGATGTGATCATGAGTGGTTTCACTCAAAGGTTTTTTTCTTTTTTGAAACACTCATGATTCTTTGATACGCGTGCTTTGTTTTTGATGAAATGTTATTTATTTTTATTTGAAATAAACATCTTGTTAGGACTTTGACCTTTTTTTAGCAGTTTTTGTTCCTTTGTTGATGTTTGTTGGATTCTTATGTTTTTTACAGACAAGAACAAAATGAGATTCTCATGTTAAGAATAATTATATTCATCTTCAAAATGGACCCTTGTTTTGTACCTTTAAGTCAATAAAACAAATAATGGGGTGGTGGTGATTCATTATTTGCTGAAGGATATTGCTTCAAGTTTCTTCCTTTTTTGAGGTTTCAACAAGTTTTACAAAATGGTTTCCTTAGAAGAAAAGGTTAAAACTGTTGGAGTTGGAGGTGGACTTGTTGCTGAGATCAAATTGCTTAAGGAAATGCAAGAACATTGTGGTATGTTATTTTTGTTTACTTCTCTTTAATAGCTTAAATTATAATCACTTTTTTTATGGTTTCATTTTTTAGGGGTGAGAAAGAGTTTGAATTCTGAGTTATGGCATGCTTGTGCTGGTCCTCTTGTGTCTCTACCTCAGGTGGGAGGTCTTGTTTATTATTTTCCTCAAGGACATAGTGAACAGGTGAAGTAGTCTCTTTTGAAAGTGCTTATTTGTTTCTTCATTTTTTTTGTATATTTAAAAGCCCTTTTAAGATTTTTTTTTCTTTAGGTTGCAGCTTCTACTAGAAGAACAGCAACTTCACAGATTCCAAACTACCCTAATCTTCCTTCTCAGTTGTTGTGTCAGGTTCAAAATGTCACACTACATGTGAGTATTTTTTACCACTTTTTCTTCCTTAATCACTTATTTCATTTTCAAAGTTTTTACCTTTAATCTTTATGTTATGATGATGATGATAGGCCGATAAGGAAACAGATGAAATCTATGCTCAAATGACTCTTCAACCATTGAATTCTGTAAGCTATTGGAAATCTTAGTACTTCTAGAATTTCTGTTATTATGATACATCAAAAATGTTAATGTTAGGGTTAAGATTGATTGTGTTTTTGTTTTTGTGTTAGGAAAAAGAAGTGTTTCCTGTATCTGAGTTTGGATTGAACCAAAGTAAACATCCAACTGAGTTTTTCTGCAAAACTTTGACTGCTAGTGATACAAGCACACATGGTGGTTTTTCAGTTCCGCGCAGAGCTGCTGAGAAGCTATTTCCTCCATTGGTAAGGACTAGTTTGGTTGTAATTTGAAAAACCTTTTTTTTTTACTCTACAAGAATCATTATATGATTATTGTGTTTTGGTTTTAGGATTACACAATTCAACCTCCAACTCAAGAACTTGTTGTTCGAGATTTGCATGATAATACATGGACGTTTCGACATATATACCGAGGTGAGAATGTTTTCTACATCTACGTAGCATCTTCTTTCGACAGTTTATATTAATGTGTGTCCGGTGTCTGAAGTCTGTTAGAGCCGGACACGACTCCTTGACACTTGCACGTGGTAGAGCCGGACTGGTTTAGATCCTAATGTTTTTTTCTACTTTTTTCATGTAGGTCAGCCGAAGAGACATCTTCTCACCACAGGATGGAGTTTGTTTGTCGGCTCAAAAAGGCTTAGAGCTGGTGATTCAGTTCTTTTTATCAGGTAAGTTTTGTGGTTTGCTTCATTTTTATCGAGTTGCCACAACATGACACGAAAATTTGTAAAATTCTTCTAACTAGCCATGTTTTTACATAACTTGATACTAAATTTGATGCTTCGATTGTTTCAGGGATGAGAAATCACAATTGCGAGTTGGTGTAAGGCGTGCAAATCGTCAACAGACAACAGCGTTGCCATCATCAGTACTTTCTGCTGATAGCATGCACATAGGTGTCCTTGCTGCTGCAGCTCATGCTGCCGCAAATCGAAGTCCATTCACGATTTTCTACAATCCAAGGTATACCATAACATGTTCATACTGTCATCATCTCAGATGTCATTTTTAGATGTAAATGTAATTGTAGTGCTGATTTTTGTCGAGTTTATTCTCAGGGCATGTCCTTCAGATTTTGTTATTCCACTGGCGAAATACCGAAAAGCTGTTTATGGGACTCAGCTCTCGGTTGGTATGAGATTCGGTATGATGTTTGAGACCGAGGAATCGGGTAAGCGCAGGTAATTTCCTCAATGCCCGGATTATGATACAGTGAAATATGTTTCTGGTTGAAGTTTTTGGCGTGATATGTGTGAAGTTGATGTATAGTTTTTCTTTTCCTGCAGATATATGGGAACGATTGTCGGTATCAGTGACGTCGATCCACTAAGGTGGCCTGGTTCTAAGTGGCGAAATGTTCAAGCCGAATGGGACGAGCCAGGGTGTGGTGATAAGCAAAATAGAGTTAATGTATGGGAGATCGAGACTCCCGAAAGCCTTTTTATCTTTCCTTCTATGACTTCGAGCCTAAAACGGCCGTTACAGCCCGGTTTTTCAGGTAAGTTTCTTAATTATCTAATAATTCCTACTTTATCAAAATGTCTTCTACTTGATGATTATTTGTTATGCTTGTATTTTGATGCAGAAAATGAGTGGGGAACTTTGATAAGAAGACCTTTTATTAAAGCACCCGAAAACGGAACAATAGATCTCTCGAACTCGATGTCAAATCTCTACCAAGAAAACATGATGAAGATGATGTATAAACCACAAGTTATCAACAACAATGGAACATTCTTACCTGTAATGCAACAAGAATATGCTCCTATAAGAGTTCCTTTGCAAGATATCAAGTCTTCGCATGCGATGGAGAATCCGAAAGTTCATCTTTCGACCACAGAGAGCATACCTAATAATACCTTAAACATGCATTCGTTGTTGAGAAGTGATCAACCTGAAAAGTTTCACCCTTTGACCAAAACCGAGAAGATGAAAATAGAATCCGAGTCGTTGCCTGATCAAATTTTCGACTTCCCTTCTTTTGAAGCCTGCAACAACATTGAAAAAGCGAATGCTGCTAATCCTGTCAATCCTCAAAGCCTTGCAAACCAATCGACATATCATAATCAAAATCCGTTATTATTCGCTCAAACTAGTCCATGGCCTATTCAGCAGCAGCCTCAGTTAGATTCGTCGATGTTGCATCCTCAACTGATTGATATGGTCCAGCCCGATTCTTCCGTTGTAAACGGCATACTTCCTCAGATAGACGTCGATGAATGGATGATGTATTCTTCTTGTCAACCTCAAGCAGTGAATCCCTCTATACCTTCAATGAACCAAGAAGTTTGGGATCATTATGTCAAGAATTTTAACATGAAGGATCTTTCAGACGAAAGCAATAACCAAAGTGAAATTTGCGTCAATCTCGATGTTAGTAATAGTGTGAATACCACTATGGTAGATCCTTCTTCCACTTCAAACACAATTTTTGACGATTTTGGCACAATGAAGGATAAAGATTTTCAGCATCCTCACGACTGCATGGTCGGAAACTTAAGTTCTAGCCAAGATGGCCAATCTCAGATAACATCCGCAAGCCTAGCCGAGTCGCACGCCTTTTCTCTACGAGACAACTCAGGCGGCACCTCTTCAAGTCACGTTGATTTTGATGAAAGTAGCTTTCTGCAGAACAATAACTCATGGAAGCAAGTAGCCGCACCGATCCGAACCTACACAAAGGTAACAACATTCTTTTTATGGCTTTAAAATTTGTTGTTTTATTTAACATGTTTGATATTGTTTTATTGTGTGACAGGTGCAAAAAGCAGGTTCAGTTGGAAGATCGATTGATGTAACTACATTCAAGAACTATCAAGAGCTGATTCGCGCAATTGAATGCATGTTTGGACTAGATGGTTTGCTGAATGACACAAAAGGTTCGGGATGGAAACTAGTATACGTAGATTATGAGAGCGATGTTCTACTTGTTGGAGATGATCCTTGGGAGTAAGTTTCTTATCCTTATAGTCTTTGCAGCGACCCTTTTAAAAAAAGGTGTGTCAGTGTCCGAAACCGACACAGACACTTATGATCACATTTAGTTTATTCATTTTTTCAAATTATTACTCGATGTGAACGTGTCAGTGTTGCGTGTGTTGTGTGTCTGGTGTCCATGCGTAATAGCTTGTAGCCTTATTTTGGAAGAATGTTGTGTGCAGGGAATTTGTGGGGTGTGTTAGGTGCATAAGAATATTATCACCTACAGAAGTTCAACAGATGAGTGAAGAAGGGATGAAGCTATTAAACAGTGGAGCATTGCAAGGAATCAATGTTTGAAAGACAAGTATGATTTGTAACAAAATGTGTTTGTAATATGTATGAACTAAAATGACAGTAATTTAGGATTTTGGAGCATTAGTATTGGTAGGTATTGGCCAACAAACCTTTAGATTATGACAGAACAAAAATTATGAGATGTTGAATGAATCAAAAGGTTACATTACATGCCTTAACTTGTAACGTATTCTTGAAAGAATGTGGAAATATCATTCATTATGCTATATTAATCTTGTACATTATTGAAAAATTTCTTTAAATTATCAATTTGAAATATTTATGATGCATAGGTAAGGATATTGAGCTTGTAATGGTCTTATAAAATGCATCCATAATTATTATATTTATTGTTACTATTTTAAATATATCTCTACTTTTTTACATTTTCATGTTTTTAATGATTTTTGAAGAAAAAAATAGAAGTGAAATTAATAAGAGAGTAAAATTTAAATGCACTTAAATATTTTTTATAAAAGTGAGTTTTGTTTTATTTTAAAATTGTTTATATTTAAGACCGAAAAGAGTATTGTATAGTAATTTGAAAACCTTATGCAAGAAACAAAAAATTTAAAAGGATGGAGAATATTTTATTTTGGAGGATTATTTATAATCAACTATCAACCTTTCAAAATTCAATTGCATTAATTTCCATAGTAGCAGTGGTATTGTTATTTTTATCATGAATCAATATTTTAAGACCTATCTAAAACCGGACTTAAATAGTAATTTTCAAACTCATATTATAATAGATTTTTTTTGAAATACTATGATAAAGCTCTAATGTTTGTATCATTCTCCTTATTTTGAAATACATTCTCCACATCCTTATAAAAATGAAGAATGAACTTGTTTGTATCAGTCTGAATTTGAGCTATTATGAAGTATATCACATTGGTTTGTTTCAAAATTTAACAGTGTCACATCAATTCACGATTGAGTTCAATAGCAAATTTCTTAACCACCTTCATCTGAAGACTAAAAGAAAGTTAACTAACTAACAATGGACACCGGTATTCTTGTTGTACTATACAATAAACTCTCCTATTATCCACCAGAATACCAGAAATTCAATTCCTATTGCAAAATCTTAGTTAAATATATTGCTCCCACCATTTTAGGACATCTGCAAGATAGGGGTTAATAAAGTAAGATATTTACAATATATATATGATGAGTAAAGATTTAAACTCACATTGCACAAGCAATAATAAACATTAAAGAATCTGATTACGCAGAGAACTACTAGCAGACCAATAGACAATTATATGATTTACAATAGCATGGGAGGGAATTGTTAACAAGAAATCGCAAAATAGAAAAACTATGTGGAAAATTTAGCATAAAACGCAACATAAAAAATCAGAATAAATTGTGTTGCACACCAAGTTACCAAAATCAACACGGTCATCTATAGACAACTTGCCTAGTTTAGGAATCTTGAGCATGCTGGTCTATTGGACTTAATTAAGCTATCATGGCAAACTGACGCGGCTCTTCAACACATCATATCTGACCTGCAAACTAGTTCTAATATTCATCCTGAATTTATTAGAGTTTGGCCTAACACAACCCTACAAAAAAGGGCGAGCTTGAGTTACAGTTGCCGCAAGAGGAGGGACGGGCGAGCTTCAGTTACAGTTGCTGCAGAAAGCTTTGCTAGGTTAAACGAAAAGAAGGAATAATAACAGCTCAAAATATCTTTTAAATTTTAGAAATGCATTAAATGAGTGTCATTTAAAGTAAAATAAGGTGTTATTTTAAAATTTATCTTCAAATATTTTAAATGATACGTCTGTAAATATATTTTTATATTTTCACGAGGAATTCTAATAATATATAGGGTGATAATTTTGACAGATTTGACTATGTTAAAAAAACTTTCTTTTCTTTTATCATATCAAAATATATATTTAATTAGAACAATAAATTTTAATTATTTAATAAATATGAAGAGTTTAAAAGAATTGAATCTCGAAGAATGATAGGGCTGTGAAAATGATCAATAGTCATAAAGCATTGAAATTTACATATTATAATATGAAACAAAAATATTTTTCGCAATAGAGGTTAGCATTCATTCACTATATAATAGGATTTGTTACTTGCTCTTTTTCGCACCACTCGACTTCTCCAACTAATGTTATGGTTTGAAAGTGAAAAAAGATAGGTAAAGTGCTTCTGTCCATTTTTTTTCTTTAACTTTTGTTAAAATTTCAAAATATAGATAGACAATTAAAAAACAAAGAGAAAAAAAAGTCAAGTCAGTTTTATTTGTCCGGCAAAAAAAAAGCTAACGTTTTTTTCAAAAAAAAACTAAAGAGAAAGACTATTTAAACTAACAAAATAGTTTTTAAAAGACTATATTATAACGGACTAAAGCAAAATATTATATTAAATTAAAATACTAAATTATACATTAAATTTTACTTTTAATATAATTTGACAAAGTTATTTAATTGTATATAAAAGAATTAAGTGCAATAGAAAAGTGTACACCATGCAAGTCATATTGAGTTTCTTAGTGATTAAGCAACCAAATTCTCTATCCTAATGAAGCAAGACAAATTCGTAGGTGCGATGAAGAATTATTAGGGTAACAAACCAACAAATATGAGTTAATGTTTTTGGATCCACTGCACTACACTCCAACTCAATCTCAGTCGTTGGATTTAGATTGCTATCCTCAGTTCTCTATGCAAATGCTCCAAGACGAAAGTTAAATATAAAAATTTGAAAGAGTCTAAAGTTGACTTCATATGCTTCAAAAATGAACTAATTCATCATTTTCTTTCCATTTTCCAATATCTTATCAATTACAAAACAAATCTAGAACTCAAATACACAACATAACTTAAAATGATGCTCTACTTTTGGTAAGCAAACACTTCTTATGAGATTTGATGACGATTCCATTCGCGCCAAAGAGACATAACAGAATGAATAATATTCTCACTTGCTACATTTGTTGTATAAGCTATAAGCTCCTAAGACTTTAAACCGATCTAACCGGTTTCTGAAGAACCGCAGATAACACAACTACGGGTTTACCCGATCCAAAACTATCAACCTTTTCGCCCACAACCCATTTCAATTTCTTATAACCAAACCTTTCAATCAACCTTGTAAGAGTTTGTTTCTTCTCTTCACTATCACAAAAGAAATTATCAAGCCAAAACAAACCACCGGCTCTCAAAACTCGATCAATATCAAACATCAAAAACTCCAACTTCTCCGCCTTTCCTCCAACAACATCCAACGCATTCGAAGCATGAATCAAATCAAACACATTGTCGTAAAACGGAAACCTATGATCTAAGCTCAAGTAAATCGGAAAAAGTCCTCTAGCAGCAACGAATTCACTAAATGGTGCATCAACATTAAGAGTATTTGTAATCACAGTAACATTTCTATCAAACATTCTAGCAGCAAAAGAACCAGAACCACCACCAATATCAAACCCTACTCTAATTCCACCATTTCCTAAACCTAAAACATCATCCATCAAAAAATCATTTTTACTCTTACCCTTCAAAAACCTTTGATTCTCATTTCCACCACTCACCAAATCAAAACAATTAACACAATCTCTACTCAATTTCTTACCTTTCAAACACTCAAAACTCTTACAACTCAAACCACTCCAATTGAAAGTGTTATTACCTAGAGGCTTCCATAGAGAAACAGGTAAAGGAAAAAACCCTAATTTTGAAATAGTTTTAGAAAAACACCTTCTTCTTGGTAATGGCTCACACCCTTTTAAGATCAGTTTCTGAGCTAAACTCCAATCATCAGGACAAGTTCCAGAGAGTTTGTATCTCATGAACTGTGACAACAAGTCCGAATTTTTCTCACAAGAATGACCAACAGATGAAACCATTTCAGTGATCCCAGTTCTTGAATCTTTACCTAGAGGAAGTTGATGGCGTTGGAGGAAGATTTTGAGCTCATTTGCAATGTTGGGTCTTGAAAGATCAAATCTTTCATAACCAAGAAGCTGTTTTTCCATCTGGGCTAGTTTCTTTTGAGACAAATCAATCTCTCTGAGGATGAGTGATACTTGTTCTGAGACAAGAGAGATGTTCTTGTTGTGAATAACGTTGTTGTTGTTGGTGTTGTTTTTTGAGGAAGAAGATGAAGTGAAAGCATAGAGAGCAAAGAGATTGGTTGTGATGACACAGAAAATCATGAGAATGTTAACAGCTGAAGAACAAAGGGATGCTCTTTTGAATCTTGCTGTTCCATCACCGATTTTCAGAGAAACTGAACCCATTTTTGGTGAATCAGTGAAGTAGATTTGGATGAGTGAGGAAGAAAAGCTTGGTTTCAAAGAAACCAAATCTCAATGAAACATTTGTGTCGGTTTGTGTCTGTAGCATTTTTTCATGTTACTACTTTAACTGTTGTTTTTGTGTGTAAATGTTTTGTTTACTGAGAAATTAAAATAATGTTAATCTAATTTTTTTTGTTTAAACACTGATTATGAGATCTATAATCAATTCTATTAATATAATAATAATAATAAGATCTATTATTATCATCAAGTTGGAATTTTTTAATATTTGTGTAAAAAGAAAATGTATGCCAGTTGTCATTTGTTATTTAATTAATGTTTGGTAGAAAAAGTACTACTTCCAATAAAAGTGAATTATTATCTCAGGTTAGGGCTGGCAATGAACCGAACCAACTCGAAAATAGTTCGAAATTCGATTCGACAATTAGATCGTTGAACTAGGTTCATGAACCTAATGAGTTGAGTATGAGCGAAAAATTAAGTTCGTTAACTAAATGAGCTGAACTTGAACTCTACATAGTTCGACTCGTTAGGTTCATGAGTTAACTCGATTACATATGAGAATAATTATACTGTCTTTAAGATTAGGTTTAAATATTTAATCTAAATCTTAGACAAATTTAATCTTCAACTTAGTAGTTTTTGAATTAGACTCTCAAATGTATCTCTTGAAAGTTGTGTAAGTTTTGAATTAGTAGATTTCGAAGATAAAGTTAAATTTCAATATGATAATTTTTATTTTATTTTAATATTTTATTTTAAAAAATATATATTTATTTAAAATGTCAAATATACTAAAATATATATATATTAAAAAAAATAGTTTTTAAGCCCGTGAATCATGTGAGCTGATCCTAATGAGTTGAACCAAACTGTTCGTGAACTTATAACAAGTCGAGTTTGAACTTAAAAAAAAGTTCGTGTTGAACTCGAACTCGAACTCGAACTCGAAACAATTCATAACGAGTCGAGTTTGAGCTTAAAAAAAGTTCGTGTTGAACTCGAACTCGAAAAATTCTTAATGAGTCGAGCCGAGCTGAGGTGAGTTCGACTCGACTCGACTCATTTCCAGCCCTATCTCAGGTGAATATTTTGTGTGATATTATGAATAATGAAAAGAAAAAAAAAATAGTCAAAGACAAAAAATAAATTGAAAAATTAATGAATAAAAGGAATTAAAAAAATTATTGACAAGTCCTATGTATTTAAAGTCTTTTATTAATAAGTTTTTTTTTAATGTTTTATGGAGAAATTTTATTTATGAAATGACAAACAAATATTTAAATCAATGATTTTCAAATATTATTGTAATAAAAATATTTTCACTGTAAATTTATTTTCCAAAAATTATAATTATAGTTATATTTTTATTACAATATTTTAATATTCCATTTTATTTCTTATAAAATTATTTTATTTCAATTAAAAGTGTATTTTGATAATTTTTTTCATTAAACAAAAAGCAGAGTTTTTTTTGTAAAATAATGTAGTGACTAAATTTATATTTTAAGTTTAAGTGTAAAGAAATTATGGAAATATTTAAAAGTGTACACATTGTTTTCAATTGATTTAAATAAATTACTATTATTACTTTGGGGAGTGTTATGCGATAATACACCATTACCTTACATCAGGAACCAATGCAAATAATAATAAAATAATATTGCTCATAAAAAAACTGCAAATAATAATGAGATCTAAAGGTCAAAATTTTGTCAAGTTACAACAATAATTGATGTCTTTTCAAACTCTTAATGAGATTGATATAAGTGTTACTTAATGGTAAAGAAAGTTGGACTAAATAAAAGAGTTTAACAACTTTACTAAACCATCTTCATAGATTATTGGATATTAAAGCATTGTCATAATGTATAGTTTTTCCACTTAAATTTAGCTTCCATAAATGATAAATGAACTATTAGTTTAAATCATAATGTAAAGTGGTTCAATATGCTCTTGACGCTTCCGTTTGCTCATCTTTGTAGAATCTGCCACTTTAAAGAATCTTGGAGCTAATTCCTTAGTTGCATTCCTTAGTTGTTATTAGAAGCTTATAATAACTATAAAAACAAATGAAGAAAGCAGAACCAAAGAAACCAATGCAAGCAAAATAATAGAAGATGCTATATAAATAGATAAATATCTTACTTGTCCATTATGCTGACAAGTTAATTCCTTGCATCCTTTTCGCAACGATTGACATTGAACTAAATTTTCAATACAGTAGGGTTCAGAAGAGTTTTCATTTTTCTAGGATTCATAAACACTAGGGTCACCCATTTTTCTATCTTGGGTTGTTTAACATAAACCTTTTCAACAAGTGGATCGTTCAAAAACGTAGATTTGACGTCCATTTCATATATCCCTTAATTGTTGTTATTCACAATATCAATAACTAACATGATGGTTTCTAGCCTAGCCACATATGCAAACACCTCCTTAAAGTCTATTCCTTCAAGTTGCAAGAATCACTTTGCTACCAATCAAGTCTTATGCTTGATCACCTCACCTTTGGGATTTGCCTTCACTTTATAGACTCATTGAACACCTATCGCCTTTTTTCCAAGCGGTAAATCAACCAACTTCCAAGTACCATTTTTTCAATAGATTCCAACTCCTCATTCATTACACAAATCTACTTTGGATTGCTTAGAGCCGCTTCTGTGCTAACCAGTTCGGATTCAGCTAAAAGCGCAAAGTGGATGAAATCACCATCATCATTTATTCTGTTCTTTCAGAATCCCTCACATTCTTGGAGTCTTTGAGGTAACACACGTTGCCTTGTTGATCGTCTATCATTCTCTTCATTTCGGACCTCAATCGGTGGTTGCACGGCTGTTTCGGAACTTTTAGGATTAGAAAAAATAGTTGTTGGATTTCTGTTTTTCTTGCATGTAACCGATTACACCAGAATAAACTAGATGGGTGTAATCGGTTACACCAGGGCCTGCATGTCTAATTTCTTCAAAAATAACATCACGGCTGATCACTATTCTCTGATTTCGCGCATCAAACAACGTGTATCTACCAGTAGAGTGATATCTTATCAATATCATCTCCTCACCTTTGTCGTCAAACTTCTTTCTAAGTTGACCTGACACATGTCGATACGCCAGCGAACTGAAAACTCTCAAATGACTTAGATTTGGTTTGAATCCAGACCATACCTCTTCTTGAGTCAGCTTCTAAAGCTTCTTAGTAGGACACCTATTCAACAAATAGGTGGTTGTAGAGACCGCTTCTCCCCATAACTCATTCGAAAAGTTCTTTCCACTTAACATGCTGCGAACCATGTTCATAATCAGTTGATTCTTTCTCTCGGTAGCACCATTTTGTTGTGTGTGTAGGGTGGTACCACCTCATGCACTATCCCCCCTTGGTCATAAAACTTCCCAAAGTCATTCGAGACGTATTTACCTCCAACGTCAGTTTTGAGCACTTTGAGTTTTTGACTGAATTGCCTCTCCATCATGGACTTAAAATTCTTGAATACATCAAACACCTCGTCCTTCCTCTTGATAAGGTAAGTCCATAGCTTTCTACTAAAATCGTCGATAAATATGATAAAGTACATTTTGCCACCTAACGTGTCAACTTACATCGGCCCGCATACATCGGAATACACCGCCTCAAGGTGAGCCTTGGTCCTATGACACACATCTCGTCCTTCCTCTTGATAAGGTAAGTCCATAGCTTTCTACTAAAATCGTCGATAAATATGATAAAGTACATTTTGCCACCCAACGTGTCAACTTACATCGGCCCGCATACATCGGAATACACCGCCTCAAGGTGAGCCTTGGTCCTATGACACACATCCTTGCTAAAAGTCCCCTTGTGTTGTTTTGGGCATTTGAAAAAAGTAATTTCTGTGTATATTTTATGCCTAATAAGTATTTCTATTTATAGAAAAACTTGTATCAATTTATGCCTAAAATTAAATACCCAAACTCTAGAACTGTTGATTATTCATTCAAAAAATTTAAATGACTTCCAAATAATATTGCCCTAAAACCTGCATTATTTTAATCTTTATTAAATTATTTTAATACTCCATTTCATTTCTTATCAAATGAATTTTTTTTCCAATTAAAAGTGTATCAAGTTCTTGTTTTTTCTTTTTATTATATCATATTAACGTATTTTGTTAAGTATAACTAGACCAATATTTACAATCTTTGAGTTTTGACTCATCATCTTTGAAATTATCAACCTGAATTATAATTGAGGGACAACATTAATCAATTTAAGATATTGGTCGTTGAATACAATCTTATACAAATTGTCTAAATTGATAGTTAAGGCCTGAAGGTCAAACCTTGGCCAAATTACAACAATAATTGTAGCCTTTTTCTGTGTCTTGTTATCCCATATGAGGTGGACAATGATGTAAAAATGGCAAATAAAATAGAAGCATGAAGGTTAAAATCGGTCACAAAAGCTACTTGCATTAAAAGTCATTTTTTATGCTGTATGTATACCATATACTTTTAATTTCTGAATTTCACAAAGTCAGAAATTTTCTTTATATCCTGACTTTTTGAATTTGGAAGCCACTGACTTGAATAAAATTCAAAATAGAAAACATCCCAAATGCTGATTACAGACGTCAAGGTCTTAGGGAACTGCACCTAAGATGCTTAGCATGGATTTAGGATAAAGTCTCAGATAAGCAAAATCATAAAAGAATGTTTATTTTCTCAAATGAAATTCAATTGCAATAAAGTATGATGAGTTGCTTTCTCAGTAACTGTTGAGACTAGGCTCAGTAATAAAGTACTCTGGAATTCAACCAAATCATCAACACTTATCTTCCCTTCCCCATTTTACTCTGGTGCCAATATTTCATACCAACATTGGTTTCCCTCATTATATTTAACTTCCATAATTGAAAACCCTACAAAAACAAACAAAATTACTAATAACCAGATGACAGATTCACCAGAACAAAACACAGTTGGCGAGTGCAGTAACAGGTGACAACATCATGAGGTAAATTACTTACTAGCTTAAAACTATAGGTTTTTCTCCATTCTAAACATAGTGGCCAAAACAGCGGAAAATAAATTATATTAGATCACTACACAGAAACATAAGAGAATGTGAAAAACAAAAATACCTTCCAAACTGTTTCAAAGGAATTGCTGTCAACAGCATCAAAATTACTTCAATAGATTGCAACGATTTGGAAATATGAACAGGGGAAGGTGAGGGAATATTTCCAACTGCCTGCTCAAATGCTTGTTTCTGTGGAAATTCAAATCCAAGATACACCAGAACTTGATTGAGACGCATACCACAGTCTTTAACAATTGATAGTGCACAACTCTGCAAACTCCAAAGCAGATAATTCTATCAAAATCACAAGCACAGTTGCCATTCACTTGGGGAAAATTTAATTGAAACTGAATCTGCAGCTATGTTGTTAATCTCTGATAACGTAGCGCTGGACCCCAAAAATACTATGGCAGTTAGTAGGATGACCACTATTGTGACGACTAAAAACATATATTCCAACCGATGGTGTGGCGGTGAAGGACTTCTCTGTAAGGAGGTTAGCTGACAGATGGTGTGGCGGTGAGGAGCTGCTCTGCCACGCTATGCTGCAATAGTCGGGGCTATATAGCGCCCTATTGACAATAAAGATTTGCACAATACAATGCCTAACAGATCAAGAAAGTATTTTGACAATTAGGTCATCAACAGCATACAATTAATGCCACAACCCTAGTGTTCCATTCTACTGATGCTATTGGCTCTATCAGTGATGCCACCAATTAATACATGTTACCATCAAACTAGTAATTATTGTGGAAACTATATCCTAAACAAACTAAACAAACAGGATAAAAGCTTGATTAGTCGTTAAGACATGAATTAATAGACCAGCTCATTGCCAAAGAGAATCATCTTGAACTAAGCACAAAAGATAGAAAGCAAACCTGTAAAAGAAACTATACTCAAAATTTAATTCCTAAAATCATCCAAAAGGAAGCAAACACATCATGAAGTTACAGTTAATGCTACAGTGCAATATAGCTCCAATGCATAAAGGTCGGTAAAAAAAAAAGATTGTATATTTAAAATGGAACTTTATGCATCACAGTTTACGTTTAACTAGCAACACCAACAAAAATATGTCCAAAATTCCATTTAACTCATAAATATAAGCAGAAAACTTACATTTAATATTAAATCCAACATAAATTGTATCCACAACCTTGCATTAAGAGAAACTGAGAAAGCATATCATGCACGGCGTTTACTCAAACGCCATGAATTTGGCTCGTGGTATCTATCATAAAGTGGTTCAATACGCTCTTGACGCTTTCGTTTGCTCATCTTTGTAGGATCTGCCACTTTAAAGAATCTAGGAGCCAACTCAACAAGCCACTTGGGGTCTATGACTGTAACCTCACGCATATATTCCTTAGTTGTCATTACAAGCTCATGGTATATGACCCAGTCTGGCTGCCTCTGGAACAAAGCTGAACTTGGATGGATATATACAGGCTGATTCTCAACTAGTGTTCTGTAACCTTCTTGGGGGTCCTTTCTAGCGGCATGAAAAAAGAACCCGGCAGTGATAGCCTTCCGGATCTTGGTGAAGTTTTTTCCAGCACTCACAACATCCAATTTGTACCTGAATATCAGAATTGGTGATTTAGATTACAATTTAATCTCACTAAATGATATGTCACAAGACTAATGTCATAAAAAAATCATCATAAAACCCACATGATAACAGAAAAATGTTGGTAACAATAATGGCAACAAAAAGACCAAAGGGAAACTACTTGGCCATCCACTATATAAGGAGGAAAAAATTATCCTTTTCATTATATTTTGAACACAAAGAATAAAATACTAAGTGCACCAGTAAAACCGTTGAGAGTCTAAAATTTAATGCAAACTAAATATATAGAACTGAAGGGGAGCCTTGACATAAGGGTTGAAAAGCCATTGCAATGACAAAATAGCCATGGCCTTTAATTATAAAATTATCTGCTTACAAACCTTTTGCATGATATAAAAATTACCTAGGACTATAACTCCCTGCCACATATCTTACAACATGCTCTTGAGTTATATAGGACAAATGAAGAGAGCAGAACTTAAAACAAATGAAGAGAACAAAACAAAACCAAAGCAAGCAAAATATTATAAGATACTATATAAATAGATAGATAGATATCTTACTTATCCATGATGGTGAGAAGTTGTTTCCTTACATCCTGGGCTCTTCTCAACGACCGAGATTGAACAAAATTCTCAAAACACCAGGGTCCAGAAAAGTTTTTATTTTTCCAGGACTCATAAACAGCAAGTAGTGTAAGATGGTCACCCTCTGGCTGGAAAAACCTTGCCCTTTTCTGATCTGCTTGGGCCTGTTTCTCCCTGGGCCTGTAAAAAATATTGCCAGTCTGGATCATGGCAATTATGGTCAAAATCTCATCACTGCATCCAAGGTCTACACTGGCAAGTAGCATCTTGGACAGTGGTGGATCCAGGGGAAATTCAGCCATTTTCCTCCCCAATTTGGTTAAAAGGCCCTCTTCATCCAATGCTCCAAGACTATAAAGCTGCTCCATGGCGGAAATAAGTGCTTGTGGTGATGGTGGATCCATAAAATCAAATGACAAAAGATCATTTATGCCCATGGCTTTCATGCTAAGAGTAGTCATGCCCAGATTTATCCTTTGAATCTCTGGAACAGAAGTAGGTGACATCTCATTCCTATATGCACTCTCGGTATAGAGGCGATAGCACTTTCCAGGTCCAGTACGCCCTGCCCGTCCAGCTCTTTGTTTGGCTGAAGCTTGTGATATTGGAGTTATCACCAAGGAATCAAGACCTTGCTTCGGGTTATAAACATTTTGCTTAGCGAACCCCGGATCAATAACATAAAATATTCCATCAATAGTCAAAGAAGCTTCAGCAATGTTTGTAGCCACAACCACTTTCCTTTTTCCAGGAGGAGCAGGATCGAATATCCTAGATTGCATTTCACTAGGAAGAGCACTATAAACAGGTAAAATGATCAGCTCCGGGACATTCTTGCCTAATCCCTTCATTCTCTCGTAGAGAGACTGACAAGCAAAATCAATCTCCTCCTGACCAGTTAAGAAAAGAAGAATGTCTCCTTCAGGTTCTGTCAAGTGGATCTGTAGGACAGTGATCAAAGACGCATCCAAGTAATCACTTTCTGGCTGTTTGGTATAAAGTATCTCTACAGGAAAAGTTCTCCCAGGAATTGTGAAGATGTTACAGTTAAAGAAATACCCTGAAAATTTTTCAGCATCAAGAGTAGCAGATGTGACAATCAATCGCAACTCAGGTCGACGCTTCACCAGCTGTTTGAGCAGTCCGAAAAGAACATCAGTATGAATAGTTCTCTCATGGGCTTCATCAAGCATTATAACAGAATACTGCGACAGATTCTCATCAACCAAAATTTCCCTAAGAAGCATACCATCAGTCATGTACTTGATAACAGTATCAGGCCCGGTGCAATCCTCAAACCGAATGGCATAACCAACTTCCTCACCTAATCTACACCCAAACTCTTCAGCAACTCTCTTTGCGACAGACATTGCAGCCACTCTACGGGGTTGAGTACAACCAATTTTACCTCTGGTGGTGTAACCTGCTTCAGCAAGATACTGTGTAACCTGAGTAGTCTTACCAGAACCAGTTTCACCAATCACAACCAAGACCTGATTATCTAGAACAGCCTGAATCAATTCTTTTTTTAACTTGTAAATTGGCAAACTCTGCCTCTGTTCCTGAATAGAAAGCTTTGACCTTTGCCCAAAAGTAATTGTTTTCCCATAGGCATCTTTCTTCCATTCTGGCATATCGTAGGCCGATAAGCCAACACCCCTCAACTCTTGGGCAAGATGCCTTTCCCCAGACTCTGGCATAGGGTCCTCCCAAGGACGATTGAGATCCTTTGGGATTGAATCTAGCATGGTACGCTGCTGCTGTTCTCTTACTTCCCTACGCTCCTTTATAAGTGCAGATTGGAGCGCAGCAGCACGACCCAGAGAACCTTCTGGATTCTTAAAGATCTTGACAGGAGACATATCCATTGAGTACCTGCTCTGCCCTTGCAAGAAGGCGGGTTCATCGTCATTCATCTCAATCTCAAGCTCTTCTTCAGCGCCTTCCTCTTGGTACATCACTCCATCTCCCTCATCATCATAAGTGGGATACTCTGAAACACTCAAAACCCCTGAAGCAATCAATTGTTTTGCTTCCCATATCTCAGGAGAGCTCATTCTCTTTAGTGGCCTGCGCGTGGAACCAATATCATCCTCCTCAACAATCCTGATCCCAGAAAGCCCTGTCCTAGTCACCGGCCCGTCTTTCGAATCTTGTGGATTTGTCCTAAAAGATTCCTCCTCTGAGCTCTTCTTCAACGGAAGAAGATCCTTCCCGGTATGCTGATCAACATCCCTCATGGAAAGACTCAACTTGGAACCAGAAATTGAAATAACCTTCACATAAACCTGCTGATCCCTTTTAACAACCTCCTTAGCATTAACAATCTTCCTAGTAGCCATTTGAGAAACATGAACCAAACCCTCCTTCCCTCTTAAATCATCCAGTTGAACAAAACACCCAGTATCCATCACCCTAGAAATTCTTCCTTTATAGACCATATACAACTCAGGTTCGCCGGAGCCACCATGCCTCGAATCTCGTTCTTTAGGACCTTTCTCATCAACATTCTCCTCCCTTCCATGTTCATACTCTTCATACTCATCTCTCCTCCGCCTCTCATATTTATCCCTATCATTCCCCCTTTTATCATCTCTTCCATACCTATCATTCCCCCTTTTATCATCTCTTTCATACCTATCATTCCCCCTTCTATCATCCTTTTCGTACCTATCTCTGCCTCTATCATTCCCCCTTCTATCATCTCTATCTCGGCCTCTTTCTCTATCATTCCCCCTTCTATAATCCCTTTTATCATCTCTATCATACCTATCTCTATCTCTGCGCCTATCTTTGTAACTATCATCATCATCCCTACCTTTTTCATACCTGTCCGGTTCCATCTGCTTCTGCTTTTCTCTAGCCTCCGCTTCAATCTCGTTCCTCAGCTCCTTAGCCCGATCCCTATCATCTGAAATCGCCAACGCCTTAAACTTGGTCTTGGAGGTAGAGTTATCCTTGTGATTCTCTTTCTCCTTCTTAGGTTTAGGAGGAAGAATAGCATGAATAATGGTGAGAAGAGTTCGAACAAAATAATCGGGCATCTCAGCACCGTTTTCTTTCAATTTGGAATCGAATTCTTCAACAGAGTCGGAGGAGTGACCTAAATCGGTGATAAACTCGGCGAGAACCTTGTCGCCGGTTCCAGTGTGAGATTCTAACTCGGTGCATACCTTGGATACGAGTGAAAGATAGTCAAGCTTCCCCTTCAATCCATCTTGTTGAATCTCGGCACCCATTGTTTAAAGCACGCAACAACAACAACAACGAATTGAATTGAGAGAAACCCTAACGGTGTGTTTGAGAAGAGAGAAACCGACTCAAATTGTTAAACCCTAAAATTGGTTTTCACTCTTTTGAAGAAATGGTTTCTGTAATGTGATGGAGGCTTCGTTTATGTTTTTCTTTTGTTATAATTAACACGCCAAACTGTGTTTTGTTTTAATTTATATAGTGAATACTCTGATACTCGATCGATTTGTTGGGTACTGGTATTTAATGGGTTAATTAGCATTTTCACAATTAAAAAACATTAATTATTACCTATTTTTTATTTTATTTACCTCTCTCATCACAATCTTCAAAAACACCATCTCTCGTCTAAGCATTTTAACAGTGAAAATTCCATTTTTCATGTTAAAAAGTTTAATTATTTTTCATTGGAAAAAGATGGAATTTATACAACATATTCTCGTATTTCAACGACTCTATATCTTTCATTAAAGAGTTAATTTATTTTTTTCAATGGTGGTGTGGACGGGACACTTTTATTTTTTTTAAAGAAAATTTCATATTTTGAAATTTATTTATTTTTATCATATGAATCATAATAGTTAAGAATTGTCATTGATTGTAAAATATAATAATGATAAATTATATATGGTTTTTGCATTTTTTAGAAGGAGGGTCAAAGCCGAAAGAAAAGAATTACATACACACTAGTATAAGAGTGAAGATACCGTCAAATCCCCTTTTAAATAGAGAGTTACAAAAGAAATACAACAATAGAACATATAATTTATAATATTTGTTTTTATCTAATATACAGTGAGCAACCTAGAGATTATATATATACAATTGAGCAAAACGATAACTAATTAAGGTCTATAAACTAGCGAGTAACAGAAGAAGTAAACTATTAATGTATAGTATTTTTCACTCCCTCACAAGCTGAACGGTGGATAGAGAAGTGGTCTAGCTTGCACAGAAAAATGGCGAAAGCAGTTACTGGTAGTTGTTTGGTGAGGATGTCGCCAACTTGCGCATAAGACGGAATGAGAAATAGTTTGATGAGGTCTGTTTCTAGTTTCTCGCAAATTAAGTGGCATATGTAACACCCCACTTCCCAAATTAAATAAATTATAAACATTATAAATAAACATCTGAGTTTTCACAAAAACAGTGGGATATCACATCACCAATAGTTATCAAAAATACTTTATTCATTATTTTCAAAATAATACAGCGGAAATTATTATTCCAACATTCTCGGCCATCCGCCAGATTTACATAAAATCTTCATTATTATAATTCACCAAAATGTGATACGTCACAGGATTTTCAACAAGTTTAACATAACCAAATAAAACACTCATATCCCGTGTTACGTATCAGAGCATCCTAAGACTCGACTTGCACACCGCTATCCAAGCTATCTATTTACCTGGATTATTTGTACATCCGAGGAAGCACAGACCACAACAACAACAAAGGGGTGAGAAAACATGACTAAAATATATTGGTAATTTAATACATGCAAATAAGGTAGTAAAACACACCAATATTCACCCCACCACACCAATCATCGAACCTACTGTTCAAATTACAATATAACATATTATAATGCAAATATGCAACTCAACACCAAGCATGCGGTACCGACTCATTGGTTCATTCAATTGAACCCTGGACAGATCACTTACGCTCCTACTGAGATATGATTTATCCCTGACAGATCACTTACGCTCCTACTAAGATATGATTTATCCTCGAAAGATCACTTACGCTCCTACTAAGATATGATCTATCCCCGACAGATCACTTACACTCCTACTTAGATATGATATATCCCCGCCATTCTCCACAAAGGAGTACGGATGAATCACATACACTCCTCCTTAGCAATGATTCATCCCACCAAACACCATGATATGTACGACACCAATGCACAACAACAATGCACGACAAACAAACTCAAGCACACTAAGTGCACACGATCCTCCTGATCACATCACCACACATCATATATATTACACCACAAATAAACACAAGCACACTAAGTGCACACGATCCTCCTGATCACATCACCACACATCATATATATCACACCACAAATAAACACAAGCACACTAAGTGCACACGATCCTCCTGATCACATCACCACACATCATATATATATTACACCACAAATAAACACAAGCACACTAAGTGCACAACAATTAAACTCAAGTAAATAACCAATAAATCATTTCAATCGATCCATGGTTTAGTTACTATTTAATTAAACAATGACTCCCCAAAAATATTGGATATAAAAATATTTGGCAAATAACTATATTATCTATACCATGTTATAAATCTATTCAAGAGCTTTCCAACGCTTCGAACGGGGAGTAAATCCGACTTACGGATCAAAAGTTATGGCCAAAATCGTCAAAACAGAAAATTCACCAATATACAGCTTTGAGTCGACGCAAACAGCGCAGAATGCAGAAAATTTTGTGTTTTCCATCGTTGGAGGCCTTCCGGACCTCCGATTTCAATTTCGTAAAAAGCCCCGGTTTCAGAATTCGAAATCCTACCATAATATGACAATTATAACAGCCAACAACATATTTTTAAAGATCATGTCATCATATATCATATAACCATACTTTTCAAAACTATGACATTTAGGGGTTTCTATCCTAAATGTGATCCTACCCATCATACGCTATTACACCATCACAATGATCATACGAAAACCCACCCTTACTGTCCAACACTGTCATCTTGCTCAATTCCAAGCTTATCACTCTTCATTCATCCTTTGCCCTATCATTACTACAACTATCACACACTACTCTAATCAATTGTTCCTTAAACTACATCTCAGAACCTATATCATGATCATTACCCAAGCCACAGAGGTTACACAAAATCTCACCAATACTCATGGTCATTATCCAAACCACAGAGGTTATCCAAACCACAGAGGTTATACAGGAGCTTCCCTAAAACCGTAAACCCAACCAATACCCCAAACTCACCAAAAACAACAATTCATCAACATCGACATATATCAATTCCTCATTGGTTTATCAAATACTAATTCTCAACATCAATAACAATTATAGGCATGACAACATAAAACTTCATACACCCATTTTAATCTTTGTAGTAAAATCAACCTGCATATAAATATTATTTTTGAAAAAATTGTTGATTAATAATTTTAATATGTTTATAGATCTTAGATCCATAAACATATTAAAATTATTATTTTTAACAAAATTAACACTAACTTCAAAAAAAAATAATAAACTTATCATCGATAAAATTATAATTTTGACGATATTTAATTTTTGCTAACGGCAGTTATGACCATCAAATTTTTAAACTTGAAAAAATTAAAAATAATTTAAATATCTTTTTACTAACATTACACATAGATTCTAAATTTTTTTATTATATAATTTATATGAAATGATAAATCAACCTGCATATAAATATATATTTAAAAAGAAATATATCAATTAAAAGTATTATGATATTTTAGGTGGAACAGAGATTTAAAAAAATGGAAAATGTGTTTGTTATCTTGTCCTCAAAATGTCTATGGGAGGACTTTTCCTTTATAAAAATAAATAAATAAATGAATAAATAAAAAACCACCTTTGAATCCCCAACCGAGCTAATTCCCGCAGGAATTTTCACAAGCAGGTACAAGTTGACCAACATTCTGACTTGTAATGAAAATGAGAGATTTTTTAAAGTAAATGAAAAACACGGTTTATTGACTTGATTGGCAAGCAAACTCTAGTCAATGTGTTTCTTCTTTTTATTTATGACAAGTCAAAGTGCGTTTTACAAAAATAAAACGGACCAGAAATGCTTATATAAGCCATCATTAAAGAGGGTATAAACTTCACGCAACAAAGAACCTATAAACTTTTTGCACAACAAAAGAATGAAACCATAACCTACTGAATAGATTGTATTTAGTCAACATTATATAAAACGTTTCAAACAATAATATAGCAAGCACTGCTTGACATAATCCTAATAAAATACACTCACTCAGGGCCAAATTTCCAACTCCAAATTTGAATTGGTTAAAAATGAACAAAGTCGTGAGCTTCGCCCCAACAGTTTTAAGACATTGCTAGTTTTATAAAAATCACATCTGAATACCATGTTCTTGAACTCATTGCTAAAATCACATGCCTGCTTTTCCTGCTTTCTTTATAGGTGGTTTTCGCTTTTTTTGAATGCAATCTACCATTCTATGCAGAGTGCTGATTTCAAAGTCCTTTTTTCTCAACTGCTCCTTCATTGATTCAATCTCCAACTCACTTTCCTTTGATCGTTGATTCAGCAATTGTTCCTTCATTGATTCAATCTCCAATTCACGTTCTTTTAATCGATTATTCAATGTGTCGATCTCCTTCAAGTGCTCTGATTCACTTTCTTTCAAACGTTGTTTCAGTGCTTGAATCTCTCTCAGTCGGACCTTCTTTTCAATTTCATGTTTCACTTGTAAAGCTTTCAGGGCGTCATCCTTTTCAAATTCAGGATCCATTTTTAATTTCTTGTTCTTGGAACCGTCAAGTGTCTCGTCGTCTTGTAAATCTCTCTTAGATGGCAACTTTTTTTTGTGATTATCCATTCCCATTGTCCGAACAAATACACTGACATTTATGCCCGTACTCAACCGACATGTTACACGTTTCTGTAGACGCCCATTTGAATCCTAACATAAAGTAATACGCGTCACCGACTGGTATGATATGAGATTGATCAAAAGAGACACAGCATACTTATAATTCAGTGATATAAAACTACAACATCAATTTATTACAAGAAACTTTGAATAGAATAAAAGGATTCCATTCTTAAGAACAGTCAGTCTCAAGGATGTTATTTTGCCATCAGATATTGGGAAGAGATTTCCATAGATGTATAACAATAAAACATCTATATTAGAAAAAATAAAGGCAAGTATTACGGTAGCGAATGGAATCCATGATTATGTATTTCTTTCCCTAAGCTAACCAACAAACAAACTCGGTAATACAGAATAGCATCAATAAATATGGTATATGTACCGTTGTTTGGCTGCCTTGGACATTTTCATATGCCTCACATGCCTCTCGTTGGTTCTTAAAGATAGCTAAGGCAGAATACTTGTCATTTTGACCACTCCTGGCAGGCTGCAGCAAATTTTACAATGGATCAGAACTCAAACAAGGAAAATAGTCCAGTGAATGAATTTCAACAAGAGTACCGCATAACAAAACTAAAAGTTCTCAAATTAAAGGCATTCATATTATTCCAATAATTACTGATGATCCTCTTCCTCAAAACATTGGGATACTGATAGGACATACTAATATACAATACCTTTTGTTCTATTGTGAAATCTCCAGGAACAATTTCGTGTAGTGTTTCACTGTTCACGGTGGTTGGTATTCTGTGAATAAGCAGCTTCGACATCTCACTTTCTGAAACCTATGATGAGACAACAGAAAACGGTGATGACAATAGTTATTACCAACACGAGTATAATAACAACACCTCAGTACTGAAAATGTATACAATACAACGACTTACAGGCTCTAGAACCAATGTTAACGGAAATGGCTTATCAACACCATGTTTGATCTTTGCAAGGACGAGTTTCATTGTTGCACATGCATCATCTAGACAATCATGTGGAGCACCCTTTTTCCGAACTTCATGGCCTAACACAGCCTGTTACGACAAAAGGTGATAAGTCGTGAATCTTAGATTAATATTTGCAGCATTTCTTTTTCATTAAACTTACTACCGTAATTTGTGTGAGATTGTACAGTGTAATATTTTAAATTCCAAAGCATGAACAACCAAAATTGCACAATAAACAACTGTCATTCAAAACAATAGAGTCTTAACAAAATTCCTCCAAAGAAAATAACTATATGGACACAACTCGAAATAATATTTGATAACATAGACGGTGTTTAATACAGAATCATAATCTTTGCATTGCATTTAAATAAGTTGTAACTTGCCTGACACAAATTATTTAAAGAAGGTTTCGCACGAATAGATCCATCCGTGGGTTGGAAGATGTATGCGGTGTCAACCACTCTAACATAATTTAGCTTCAGCACTGCAAATGACTGTAATTAGTAAATAAAATGAAACAAAGAAAAATTATGCAGCGGAACTCAAGCCCTTCATATACACGGAAACTAGCAGTAGTCCATTCAAGGACACAACTAAAATGAAATGTACATGACACTTACCACTTAGATCATTATGTAAACTGTGTCCCACTAATATGGCTCCACTGGATAACAGCTTCTTCAATGATTTCTACGAAACACAACATATTTCTTCATAAAGCATTTGAAAGGATGATACAGGAAAACCACAAAATAAACCACAAATTTACTTGTATATCAGCTAAGGAGCAAGTCACTGTCTCTAGATCTTTAGAAGAAACACCAGTAATCTCTGTTCTGTAGTCTATGATTGCTTTCTCCGGTTTAACAAGTTCGTGTAGTTTGACCTGAAAAGTTCTAAAATTTTCAATGTAGGGAAGAAGTGGACTAACTAGAGTGACCAAGTAAAAAAAAGAGCCGGCATATATTATCACCTCTAAATTGTTATCTACAACACAAACTTTGACAACAGCTTCAGTCCCATCTTCACAGAGAACCATTTCACAATCAACAGCAAGCATTGTAGTGGATCTTATCCCCTTGGACTTCTTTTTAATGTTTATCACTAACCATCCCTTCATTTTCCATAGAAAAACCAACATCCATAATGGATAAGTGCCTTGTTTGACTAAAAACTAACATAACCCATATGTTTATAAACTGTAGCAGACCATTGCTAAATAAATAAACTAAACTAAAGCAAATAGTAAAAAGGTGTAAGGGTGATAAAAAAAACCTCAAATCTAAACATGATCAATTGAGAAAACAAGGACAACAACAGTAGCATATTGCAAAATAAAATTAAGTCTGACTTGCATACACAGACCATAATAAACTACGCCCTCCATTCCATATATATTTATATTTAAGGGGACACACAGATCAAGACTCAAATATCCTCATTCCGCTTCCTATTTTCCCTAGCATTTTAGATTTCCAAGTTATCTCTCCTAACTAATGATATAGTTAAAGAAAAAAAAACATTAATTAGACATGAGTTTATAAACATCAATACTTTTGAAACAAAAACAACAATTGATATGGAATGGAGGGAGTAATAACAGAACCAAGATTTCTGAAGGAATTCAAGGATTTGATAAATTTCATCCAGACAATAAAAAAGTGAATATTTGATGTGTTCGTTTTATCATACATTTCTTCTTATCCGTGTGCAACATTTATGAATAGCATTAGCAAAAGCACATGACAAACTTCTAAATTGACGTGTTAACGCACCCATATGAAAAAATAATTTTAATTTTCAGAATTATCTCATTTTCGAACACAGAAAAATATGAGCAATGAAACATCAATCATTGCCGCAAGCTTCATTAAAGAAAATAAGACCATTCTTTTATAAGGTCAACCTTCTTTTGTATTATTTTCTGAAGCATCCTATTGTATTTTATATAATTTTAAAAAAAAAAATATCCTAAATTTTTACAGGCATTTCTTTAAAGGCGTCTTCACCTAAACAAGAATAGAAAGGCCAATGCTCATATTTATGAGTATTTCACAAGTCGAGCCAGTTAACATTTAAGCAGTATGCATAACCTCAACAAGGACTACTTAGCATTTCGGATTACATAAGTTGACCAGAAAATTCGAGAACAGATAATCATGACAGACCTCGTCAATATATGGCAATGAATACTCCGATGTGTACAGAGGGTGCTGAAGAGTTGCTTGGACTAGACTCTGTTGCCAACATTTAAGGTTAGGAAAACAAAGTAGGATCATGAATAAAAGAAGATTAATTATGATTTTATAACTATTTGACTTTCAAATTGAAAATCATGTAAATCCCATCATCAGTCACAAAATACAGTAAGAAGCATAAAGAATAACTGGTAGCAGAACGTAATATTAGACAATGTCGTCTTTGCTAAACTTAAGAGAATATATGCATCATGCAATTATCAGTTGTGGTCTCTTGAACTTTAGGTTCTACACTCAAATTCGGGTGCAGCAACAAGACAATTCAACTTGAACGTCAATGTTTATATTGCAGGAAAGCAACAATTTTGTAAAATTTAATTTTAAAAAAAATGTTGAATCGATTAAGGAGACAATAGTAAAGGAAGAAAGCCAAATATACATGTAGCCAGTGTGGGTTTAAGGGGAGGTAAAGTAAGTCCTAAAAAATACAATAAAAATAAAATGTTTACTTGTTTTTGAGACCGGGGCTGCTATTCTTATATTTGATATTCGAGTTACCCTGTGCGCTAGTTGACTATCCAATATTGGCCGACCGACGGTTGGGCTCCCTTAAGGGCGGAGCTCACCAACTGGGTGGCGTGGAAGGGGGATATTTAGCTATGTGCGGGTAGGGCTGCTCCTGCTCAGTTGCCACTGGATATCCACATTTATCCCCTAGAGCTGCTGTTCATTCCTCCCCCCATCGGTTGAGTGTTTTCATTCCCCCGGGCCTTATTGGAAAGTCGGGGCTTCCCCTCCTTTTTCCGAGGAAACTACCCTTGCCATAGCTACCCCCAGCCAAAAGGCGGCCATAGATAGGCTTTTGGCCCTAAAGCTACGGTTAAGGCCCCAGCCAATTCTGAATCTTAAAAGACCAGCTTCTGACTTAGATAATTCGGGTGCAGCAACAAGACAATTCAACTTGAACGTCAATGTTTATATTACAGGAAAGCAACAATTTTGTAAAATTTAATTTTAAAAAAAATGTTGAATCGATTAAGGAGACAATAGTAAAGGAAGAAAGCCAAATATACATGTAGCCAGTGTGGGTTTAAGGGGAGGTAAAGTAAGTCCTAAAAAATACAAGAAAAATAAAATGTTTACCAATATTTGAATAAAAATTGGTTAAATCTAGAAATACTTATTAATTACTAGTACTTTTCAAGTGCAAAACCTATCTTGATCTTCAGCAAAACAGTTATTTTGAAAACATACCTGCTCAGGAGAATCATGAGATCTATCTTTCAGTCGCTCTAATGTGTATTGATTAGAATGCTGTCGCATGATGTTACCAATAAACTGAGCACAAAAAGAAAATGGGTAAGACTCGTCATGTGGGCTATTAACTTCATATTTAGAAAAAGATATAAATATATTGAAAAATGATCACCTTCAAATCCTCATCACTTGAGAATGTCTTGAGAAATTCAGCCAAAACTTCATGGGACCTCTTTGACGGATCACTCATACATGACCCAAATTTCTTATCTTTAGTGTTCAAGAACTCTTTCCAGCCTCCAAGTTTACCCTTCATGCCTTTCTTTTGTACCAATTTTACAATATCAACCAGCAACTACACACATGAAAGAGTGGATTCACTAGATTGAGAAGAAAGACAAGACTGACAAAGGTCAAAGTGTAAGATTCCATTCGTCTAAACAAACAGATGTATACAACTAAAACTCTCAGGATCAGCACGGCACTAGCGTAAACCTAAAATATTGAAATGAATTCCCAGCAGTGCAATAACAGGACAGTGTGACTTAGTTTGATTTATACAAACAGCTAAACAATGTGAAGAGTTAACAGCAAAGATATTGATTGAATTTCAAAAACAAAACAGAAAGGTTTCACAGTAACATTCATTGATAGGTTCAATATAGAGAGTGTATTATAATGATTTAGAAAAGTTACCTTCTTTTCTGCTGTGTCAATCTTGTCATCCATATCGAGTTAAGGAATAGTTGTCGAACAAATCCTGATTAGTATACAAGTGAAGCAGTTAATATGAGTGAGTACACGCAGCAACAGGGATGCAACATTAGAGGTGAAGGAAAACCCGAAAGAAGAAGAAAATGAAAATATGAATGAATTTCTCACTGTTTCTAGCGGCCGACGACCAAATTCTGCGGCGTTTTCCGGTTGGGTTCAATTGCAGGGAGCGGGAACGGCTGCGATGAATGTTGAGGGTTAGTAGTTTAGGGTTTGAGGTGATTGTTAAAATGCGTTTAAAATTAAAATAATAAATAAATAAATAACTATACAATTTTTGTTTCATCTAATAAAATTGTTTTTTTTTTTTTTTTTGGCGTTTTGAGATATTTCTGATATCATGTCATTTTCATCAACGCAAAGCAAGTTATTGTCGTACTATTCCACGAGTGTGAGTAACCATCAAGTAAGAAGGGTGTAATGGTTGTATTATATCATACATGTGTAAAAACAGCCGGAATAAAGGAAAAATGTTTTGGAGATGTCCGTTTTGGCAAAATAACGATACTTGCAATTTATTTATTTGGGATGACGATATTGCACAAGAAAATGATGATCATGAATGTGTAGATGCAGAGTGGAGTAAAGATGATAGCAAGGTGAGGGAGATGCAAGTTGTTGAAACTTTGAAGGAGCTACATAAATCTTCAATGAAGAAGAACAAGAGGTTGTAGTAAAAGATTAAGTCAGAGTCATTTTGGGAAAAACTGAAGACAATTTGTATTGTATTTTCGTTTTTGGTCAACATGTACTTGTTAATTAGGTGTAAATGTTGAAATGATTTGTGTGTGTAATGTTGCTTAATTGATTTTGTAATGTTCACTTGGTATGAACTATAATTTGGTGTAATTGTTTTTGTAATGTTCAATTGTTATGACCTATAATTTGATTCAGTTATGACCTATATTTTGGTTTAAATGATTTGGTTCAGTCATGACCTATAATTTGGTTTAAATGATTTAGTTTAGCTATGACATGTATTTTGACATAATGTGACCTATAATTTGACATAATGTGGTCTATAAATTTGCCTCGGTATGACATATAATTTAGACATAATCTGATATATAATTTTGACAGAATGTGACCTATAATTTAGACATAATCTGATCTATAATTTTCACACAATGTGACCTATAATTTAAACATAATCTGATCTATAATGTTCACACAATGTGGCCTATAATTTATACATAATCAGATCTATAATTTTCACACAATGTGATGTATAATTTTGACATAGAAATACAAACAAATTTCACCAAAGAGTTACATGACATATTCAGTTCATTACAAAGCAAAATAGTTGTTGAAGCATTTCAAAATAGTAATTGATCCATATTCATTACAGTACATATGAGTTATCAAAATAGTAATATCTCTTTCAAAACAAAAACGCAAACAAAACATAAATATCCAAACATCAATTAATCTTCACTAGGTTAGCCTCTAGCAAATTGTTGCCTACTTTTTATATCTACCAACAACAACAAATTCTTTTGTGTTTTTCTCTCTAGTTATCACCAATGGATCATCAGGTTTTTTATCAGGGTCATCTACGTTCTTTATTTTCAGGATCCTCATCCTTTCATTATGTCTTTTTGCAACTGCCACATTAGAATTCATCTTGTACCTGGTATTGGTTTTAATACTCATTGGTTCACTACAAGTTGGCTTTTAAATGTTTGTTCTAATACTATAAGCTTTGAAAGGGTTGTGCTTACATACTTTTGGTTGTTTACCAAAAAACTATGACACCACTTGGCTTTGATTTAGTTGGCTTGAGAGGTGATTTATCAACACTCAACGGATGAATGTCCAAAACATTATCATCCCTCAGTAATGCAGCCAAAGTCTTAGTATCCCAATCACATAACTTATCCAAACCTAAAGATTGGTTGTTTAGTGACAGTTGGCTCAGTGATAATTGGCTCCTTGAAAGTTGCTTCGTTAAGAGTTGTCTCTTTGACAGTTGCATCATTAATAGTTGGCTCCTTGACAGTTACATCATTAACAATTGGCTCCTTGACAGTTGCACCTTTGACATTTGGCTCCTTGACAGTTGTCTCGTTGACTTTTGTCTTCTTTGGCTGGGTTTTTTTTAACTTTGTTTCAGTCTTAGTTGTACCATTGTTGGTAGATCTCTTGGGCCTCCCATGCATGAAACATTAACATTGTTACACAGTCTTAATATTAACTACACACAAGCATAATACTAAAGTAGTACATTACCTTTTTTTACGCCAAATGGATGTAGCTAGTCTGACTGGCCTATGTAGGCATCTCTTGACTGGCCTGTGCAAGCATCCCTTGACTGGCCTGTGTAGCATTTCCAGATGGAACAAGCACAATTTATTTATTTTTCTTACAAGTCCTTTTGTTGTGGCCTAATTCAAAACAAGTTTTACACATATGGCTTGTATTTGTTTTATGCCATTTTGTTTGGTTCACCTCATCAGGTTCTCTCTTTCGTAGTTTCTTGAGCCTCCCTGGGCTACGTTTAAACAAAGGGGGCAACATAATAAGGTTAGATGTTCTAAGCTATTTGTTCTGGCCATTTAATGACTTGATCACTTCACTATAACATTTTTCACATATGTTTATGTGATATCATTTATGCACATATTTGATTGGGTCATGCAATTTCATATGTATTGCAGGAGCACGTATGTTTTTCCAAATCCACTATAAAGTTATCAGTAAACAAGACATAGGTAACTTGAAAAGTTAATCTACCAGCATAAGTTGTTGTCCAACTAGCACTTTTTTCAATTTCTCTATCTAATCTCCTTAATAGTTTGGTCATTATATGCCCCTTACAACCATCTATCTTTTTCTCTAAGGGTTGCAAACCTTTCCATTAGATAAGTCATAATCCACTCAAACATGGATATTATTGGTTTGTCTCTCTGTAAAAGAATTGTAGCACTAAAAGACTCACTTAGGTTGTTCATTAACACATCACACTTTGAGAAAAAATAAAAAACATGCTTACACCACTTAATTTTGAGAATTGTCTCTAATCATTCATATGCATCCAAACTGACCTCCTTGATCATAAGTATCTTTGATTCATGTGCCTCAAAATAAGTAACCTTTGCAGTAGCCATCATAAGATCCTTAAACACTGCTCAACCTCCAAACTTTTTTTTGAAGTTAACATATAAGTGGCTTAAATAGAATATGTGTTTATAGTCTGGGTACTCCTCTTCAAACACTTGAACTAGTCCCTGTTTTAAGAAAATAACAAGTGCATTAGTACAAACAAGTGCATTAGAAAATAACAAGTGCATTAGTACACTCTTTAATGAGATTTAGGATTACCTTTTGCTGGTCAGATATGAAACACCATATGTTATCTTCAATGTCTTCAAGAAGCAATTTAATAAACCAGCTCCATGAATCTTTTGTTTCAGTCTTAACCACAACAAAAGCAATGGGAAAATATTGGTCATTAGGTTCTCTTCCAACAACAATTAATAAAATACGACCATACTTGTGCTTCAAATGGAATCCATCTAAGCCAATGAGTGGTCTGCATGTTTTTGTCAAAGCTTTCTTGGTCCCATAAAAAACACATAAAACACCTCTAAAATATAGGTTTTAGACCAGGAGTTGGAACACTAGTGTTGATTTTGAAAGTATTACCAACTAAAACCCTTCTCAACTCAGAACCATAAGACCACAGTAAGCTAAGTTGTTTGCTAAAGTCTCATTCAACTATGTGTCTTGCAATTTGTCTTGCTTTGAAATATCTACAACTTGGGATTTTTGTAACATACTTGTGTCAAACATCTGCTACCACCTCACTTAACTTCATCTTTGAGTTATTCTTTACTCCATCAACAATGACCTTGGCAACCCACGCTGCTTTAGCACTTTTGTTGAAGAATTTTCTTCCACATTTGTGCTTTGCAAACCATGTTTTTATCCTAAATATGGCGGAGGATAAAACTCTATTGCACAAGACTATATATTTACATTTTGTCTTGTCCTTACATACCACCCTACATCTGTTAACATCATTTTTCTCAAACCTAACATCATCGCCATTCAAAATATTATGCTCTAATATAGCATATTTGAACTGATTTAATGAAGAAAACTCAATTCCAACATTGAAAACAAAATCCTTACTTAGAGAATCTTCTACATTGAACATGATTACACATGGCCTTTCATCACAACTTTCATCATCACCTACACTATCCAGTTCGTCAGTCATGTATGAATCTTCAATGACATGTTCCTTACCCATCTCTTCTATAATAAAAATATTCTTATCTGGTTGAGTTGGACCCTCATTATTAGCAACAGGTTAATTTATAGTTTCTGCATCATGCCCTCCATCAAACTCGTTCATTCTCTCCTCCTCACTGTCATCAAAGTGGACACCCCTCATAGATTCATCAATAAAATCACCATTAGTTTCACTTAATATGTCATCATCTTCATCACATTTCTTTACCTTTCCTTTATATTTAAACCTATCCATAAAGGTATCATCTCTCGTAGCTGGTTTAGGCTCACAAAATATCTCAACTTCGCAATTATTTCCAACTACATGCATAGTTAACTAAGAAGCATCTCCATCACCCCTAAATGGTTTTAAGTTTTGTTCAAAGGATCCTTCACCATGTTTTCACTACATTTTAACACAACTTAAATCAAACTTATGGTCACAAGCTTCAAAAAAGACTAGTAATTGGGATCTTGACCAGTAAAAGCATATACTTCCAAACCATCATATCTTATGTTAGGGTATTTTATAAAATAGCCATTTGAGTAAAATGAAACCTAAAATTTATCCATTTTATTGTTCAAAAATTTCACTTAGGTTTAAAATTTACCATAATTAGATCAAACAGATTTACCAAAATTAGTTCTAGCAACTTTTCCAAAATTAGGTCAAACAAATTTATCAAAAATTTAACTTTTACACGAATGGTAATAATATGAAACATAGTAAATAAATTGGGACCACTGAATGCGACTAAGTACGAGAAAGCAATGAAGATAAAAAAGCATAAGAAATGAGGGAACAAAGCAGCGCCAAATGAAATTACCTAAACGACGAGGATTCCAAAGTTGTTTTGGGACAACTGCGATGAGGATTACAAAGTTGTTTTGGGATCACTACAACAAAGACTTGTTCCTTGACCACAACGAAGTTCTTTTCAACGTAGGCGAAGTTTTGTTCAAGGGCACAACATTATCAACTATTCCACCATGGTGAATTAACGACTACAATTCAGACGTAAGCAAAAAAAATCACATTTGACATGACATGTAGTCCTCCATTAGTGGAAACTAACGAGAGAGACCACATTTAGGGACAGAAAAGATTGTGAGGACCATTGTTTGAAGAAATTTTTTATAGGGACTAAAACTGAATGTTGACATATTTATAGGGACTAAAACATATTTAACCTTACTTTTTATAAACCATTTATCATATTTATTTCGTTGTTCATTCCTATTCTTTAATTTTCTTATTACGTGATTTTTTTTTTAAAAAAGAGGGCCATATGCCTAAAGAAAGAACAAACTACAAGAACACCTCCCTAGAGAAGAAACCCGCGTCAATATCTTCGGCTAACAACTTCTCAATAAAGCTAGGAGCAACAAGATAACATTGTAAATTCGTATTTAATCTACACCCAGATTTAACAAGAGCATTCACACACAAATTAGATTCTTTAAACATGTGCTTCACATAGGCTTCCTCAAACCTACTCAACAAACACGTGTTTCACATATTTTTTGTGGTATTTTATTTTATTGGTTTGCATAAATAAAAATCAGATTCAACTTGTCTCTTTTGTTGAACTTTTTTTTGTTGATGATGAAAAATTAGAACCTTCAAATCTGACAAAATATGTGAGTTGAGGAGAAAATTAAACCAGGAATAGATCTAATAATGAATTTAATGATGTTTAATTTTTTTATTATATATTTTTATGAGATTTTGATAAAGTTTAATGAAGATGATGATGACGGTGGATATATGTAAAACCTGATTATTGTACAAGTAAAGTGGTTACTATTAGTGAATACATGTAACAGGGATGCATCAGTAGAGGTGAAAGAAAACCCGAAAGAAGAAAATGAAAATATGAATGAGTTTCTCACTGTTTCTAGCGACCGACGACCAAATCTCGCAACTTTTTTCGCTTGGTTTCAATTTCAGGGAGCGGGAACAACTGTGATGAATGTTGAGGGTTCGTAGTTTAGGGTTAAAATGCGTTACAAATTAAAATAATAAATATACAATTTTTGTTTCATCCAATATCAGTGTTTTTTTTTCTTTTGAGATATCTCTATTAACCCTCTGTCATTCGCTTTTGTATAAATAATTAAAAAGAAAAGATTATTTTTATCATATAATGTTGATTTCAAAGATATAACTTGATATTCTAGGTATCCGAGCAAGATCATCTTCAAAAATATAACTTGATAAAACATTTGATTTTCTTAAGCTATTTTTGAGAGATAAGGACTTCATAGGATATCGTTGGATATCAAGTGTTATCATCATCAAAACTAAACAATTGTGTTAGTTGTGTTTGTTCAAGAAACTTAAATCATCTTCTTTATTCCCTCCCTTTGTAAAACCTAACAGGGTTTCTTGTATTTGTTCAAGAAACTAAAATCTCTTTCTCATATTTTGGTTTGTTCTTGGCGACATCAATTCACAACAAACTGATGCAGTGAGCATGGAGGAGAAGATATTGTCAACAAAGTATGAGATTGAAAAATTCACCGGTGTGAATGATTTCAGTTTGTGGTGCTTGAAGATGCAAACCCTTCTTTTTCAACAAGGTTTGTTAGAAGCGTTGAAAGGATCAGAGAAGATGGATGCTGCCCTATCGGAAAAAGAGAAGACAACGATGATCAAAAAAGTTCACAATGTCATTATATTGAGCCTTGATGATAAGGTTTTTTGACAGGTTTCAAAGGAGAAAACTACAGCGGGCGTGTGGACGAAACTTGAAGGTTTGTACTTGACGAAATCATTGGAATCCCGTAACTCTTCATGATAATTTTGAAGTATAGTGAATCAGAGAATTGTTCCCTCCCTTAGATGAAGTTCGATTTGATCGAATTGGATAAATAGATTTCTTATGTTGTCGTCTATAATTATTTTTATTGATTAAGACCGTTTGTTAGTTGTCACTGTTCTTTGTTTCACACATCAATTTTCTTAGTGTGACGCAACTCTGAAAAATTCTTCTTAATTGCTTTAAGTTATTCTATCTTTTTTACAACAAGTGGCGTCCACCGTGGAGGTAAAGGGGTGTTATTTACAAGTGAGCACCATGGCTAAATGGAAGATAAATATATTTTCTGGAGATTGTAGGGGGTTAGGTCATGGACTTAAGTTGCTCTTATCAAATGTGTCCAAAAAAATAATACTTTGAGATTTTGAAGCTAGAGCAAAGCGGATTAGTACTTCTAAGTGACAATAAGGCTCACAAGGTTTATAGTATTGGTACGTAATCCGCTGTCGCACACAGGTCAAAAACGAGTTTAAAAATGTAGTGTAGGATAAAGACACTCAAATGTCGTATCACAAGAACTCTTGTATTAATTTTTACCAACCGATTGAAATAAGGGGGATTTTGATTTTCGATTATGCTACTGACTAATAGAAATTGATTACGAATATGATAAACACTGATCTACTATTTCGATTTCCCAACTTATCATTGGTTAGTATAACTTTCATGCCCTAAGAGAATTTAATCCCTTTTCAAATACAACATCAATCAACAAGCGTAATTTACAATATGTGATTTACATTGCTATTTTCAAAGTTAAGCAAACACAAATAAAGATTTGCACGAATTAACATGAAAGATATGCTAACACGCGATGAAGATTAGTGAATGTAAATCAATTAAAATTAACCAATATATATATTCTATAGAACTTAAATAAAGCATACAAGACATAGAGCAAAGTACTGAAAAGGGAAAAGGAGTTTGATTGAAAATTAAAGAATCTCAAAGTATCGGTAGAAACCGAATACAACAGATCAACTGTGTGAAACTTAGTTCTCCATAGAATTCGTATACTAAACTCTAATTTTCGTGAATGCCCAATAATGTCTACAGTAGCGGCGAATTTTCTAATATAACAAAAGAAAAATTTGGACCCTTGTGGAAACCAACTCGAAAATTACAAAAACCAACCCAAACTAACTTTTTTTTTTGTTACAAATGTGTAAATTTTGTTTACCACGTCCCTGAAACTCAACAAAAAAAAATGCTTTAGATTAAACCTCCCAAAAACACAAACATAAACACAAATTATTTTTCTTCACACAAAGTAAAGGTTGCAGATGACACCAAGAATAAGAAGCATCTCCAAATTTGTTTTGTTGGATCAACCTCCTGTGCACGCATCATTGCTGCAACCGCCTGCATAGGTTTGAAATTTTTTATAAAAGCTATAAGTTACTACTTAAGAAAATATCTAAAATAGAGTGATAGAGAAAGAAAGCACTTGGTTAATAATATGATGCTATACAATATTCAGAAGGATTTATACAAGTTTCCACATCAAAGATCTTGGAAGAGGTAGAAGAATAGACAGATCAATCCCATGTAATAAATAGATTCTAGTTCAATCTAGAGGCATCCTACCACTTATGGAACCAATTTAGTATTAATTTTGAAAATTTTGTAAACATAAAATGGTCAAAAATAAAAACTGATTGAAAGTAATTTAAGTTAAATAAAATACAAAGGATAAAATGATTACATATTTTGAACAACTACGTGATAGTAAATAAAGAAGCAAAATAGAATAACATATTTAATTGAACAAAATCAATGTCTATGTTATGACAGTGTAACACCAGTAAATCAAACAACACCAATAATCCCACATCCTTCTGAGTAAAATTTTCAATGCAATTTGAATTGTTATTATTATCAAAGCTTGCACAATTGAAATTTTGAAAATCACAACATGCACATTATATGTTTGACAAAATGACTGACCCAATTGACTTTTGTTTTTCTATATAATTTTGAGTGATCCAAAAAGCAAACACTTGGCTAATATGTTGAAGTAGGTATTTAAGTTGAAATCACCAACAAATGATAGAAAGAAATTAACTACCAAGATTAAATTGAAGTTGCTATAAATTAACTACGAATTAATTAAAAATTAGTTACATATTAGCTATCATTTATGAGTTTTAGATATGGTGTTAGTATAAAATGGAAACAATTGACACGTGACATCAATGCAATTATTTTTTGTCACACTGACATACCCACGTGTATGTCACGTCATCGAAAAAATCTATATGGCATGGCACGTCTCCACCTATGAAAACTAATGAGAGGAACCAATTTTGTAGGCGACTTTAGTTGTGGGAGTGATGTACTAAAAAAATAGGAATTGATTCTTTACCTTTTGACAAATTAGAGGTGAAATCAAAATGCAAATATTTCAGCTTCTTAAAACCAATCAAGACTTGTGAAAAATATATAGATGATTTCAAACAAACAATCAAACATCTTTAATAAACACAAAGTTACATCACAAGCAAAATTAGCCTGTAACTTACACAAATGATACCAGAATCAGAATAATCAGTGTGACACAAACAATAATAGAAACAAGGACAATAAAAAATGTACATATATAAGCCTCTCAAACAGACACACACTTTTCTAGTTATCGTCTTTCTATATATTATGTCTGTCACAACCAAACTCAAAGCAATAAATTTTGGAGTCATGGAGGGGAGGCAAAGAATACAATTGTTATCAGAAGAACTACAAACCACCATTGCGAGCACACTTGAACTCTTTGAACTCTCGTGGTGTCGACTCACCTCTGCCATTTTCTCTCTGAAATATGCATAATTCAAATGGAATGATGAGTTTGAAAAACCAAAGGAGCAAGTAATTTTTAGAAAAGAATATAAGTAGAAATTACCAGTTGAGCTGTTGCCCTTTGTTCCCTGCTGAGCTGGAGATATTGACTGTTCGACACGGGGAGAACCCTGCCTACCGGTTGCACCAGGTAAGGAATGTCTCTTCTTAATGCTAACGTCTTGGTCGTGTACATCTGGACTTGATCTCGGAGAGGAGTTTGAATTTATCTTGGCCCTAGCAGATTGTGTAGCTTGCATGAAACGAGGAAGAGATATATTGTTACTACTGCTATTATCTTTAGTAGGTTCTTGATCGTTGTGATCTGGTTTTATCGAGCCAAATGAATTGCGTCTCTTTCCATTTAGATGATCTTTAGGCAATTGTTCTTTACTACCTCTTGATCCTGAGTCGGGATTTGCATTCGCAGGAGACTTGTTACCGACGGACACTCTTGAGCCTGAATCATTGTTTGAAGTTGCAGGAGACTTGTTGCCGACAGACAGTACCCTACGTCTGCTGCTTGATCCAGTCTTGTTGATTTTATTATCTTTAGGTTTCACTGAAACCTGACTTGAAGGAGTTCCTTGAGATTCAGGAATTGTCATATAGCTTCCTGGTGAAGCTTCTGGAGATAACTTGAAATCCTGCCGAACATTCTCAGTTTGTTCAGTAAGCAGGTCAGATGCATTTTTATCAGGCTCAACCGCAGGCTCTTTGGAGTTCACTGAATCGACAATATTACCAGTGTAGCCGTTAACATTTTCTAATTGATTCGAACTAGAGATAGGTAAGTTAGAAGTCAGAGTGGCAGAAGGAGTGTCGGCCTCAACACTGTGACCAGTCTTGTTTTCAGGATTAACTATCCCTTCCACTAAATCTTTGGCATCATGCTCGCTTTCCAAAGTCTCTGATCTGTCAGGTGAATCAAGAGTTGAAGAAATAGAGAGTACCGTGCCACTTTCAGGATCACCAATTCTGGAAGGATAGGGTGTAGAATTCTCAGATGAGATGAACTCTTTTGATATATATGCAGTATCTGCTTGTGATTCAACCGATACATCCTGATCGAACAAATAGCTTGGCCTGCTCGAATTCGCATTTGAACTCAGCTCTTCAAATTTTGATTGAGCAGCAACAAATGCAGGGTTGCTTAACTTCCTTGATACACTTGCAATTTTCTTTCCCTCGGTCTCTAGTTGGTCTGAGGCAAATGCTTTAACTGGCTGTTTGCACTTTTCACCATCAACGTCTCGATCCTGAGAACCAGGATCCTGTCGGACACTTGCGCTTGAATCTGTTTTTTCATTTCGGAAAGAATCTATTTCAGGAGAGACTTCTTTAGCATTATCTGTAACCGTCTTTTCGGGAGGACCCTCTTCCAACTTATCCTTTATGAGAGAAGATCTAGAGGGACTTGCTTGAAAGTATGAGTTCGTATCATCGTAAGTAGAGGTTTTCTCTTCGTCCTCGGATGGTAGAGGTGAATCAGCTAACTGAAGAATAACTTCAGATGGAATATCTGTTTCCAATTGAGAGACACGAGTGCTATCGCGGGTTTCATCCAATTGTTCTGTCGTACTAACTGGCTTTTTATTTTCTGCAGAATCTTTCGCTGAAACAGACATCCATCTCTCCAACCATTTCCAAGCAGAGTCACCTTCAGAAGGATTACATTTGACATGGATAGATTTGTTTTTCGGTGTTGATTCCATCAGCTTCAACGAATCGAAATGACAGAATATTTAGTATGAATGAACAAATAGATGATGTTAAACACGCCAAACAAAAAACAAAATGTTAACTGTACCTGACGAGCAAATTTATTGCTGAGAAGCTTTTCCACAGAACTGTGCTTTGCATTTGATTTGGCCGACTGATGTTCATTATTGCGATCTGAATGTGACTGCTGAGCTTGTCGAGCTCGTACAAGGAGCTGCATTTTAACAATAGCTTGAACACATCGTAACGTCCCAACAGCATGCCTCCTAACCAAGTGCCCACGAACAGCAGCTTGCAACTTCACTACATTTTTACTCTTTATCAGTGCTCTCTGAGCCTGAAAGAAACAAGAACAAAATATTTCTAAAAAGAAAATTACTGTTTTATTCTTAAAAAGGTTCTAAATCAGCTATGAAGCACAAATACAGACTCTAACACATTAACACCGGTGATAATTTGATAAAATGAAACACTATTTGTAACGGTGCTAGTGCCCGACATGTTGGACACCATACACCAGACACGTCTTCCATTTGATGTATTGGTTGGTGCTATGTAGGATAAGCAAATCTCGGAAAAAAACATACCAAGTATCCTCTAATGGAAGCCTGGACGACTATCACAGCAGATTCCGGTATATCGACGTCCACCTTATCCTCATTTTCAGTGACAATTGTTTCTGGCACCTCTGAGTATGCATTGGACGATAACTGAGGCTTCTCGCTACAGAAATCTGTCGTACAAATCTTTTCAACAACAATAGATTCAGCTGGAGATTGAAAACTAACGCTTGAATATTCCGAAATCTCTTTATTCGCCGAAGTCGGAGTCTCTGTTGCTATCACAGTATTGCTAAGCACACGATGCCTCGCAGATCTCTTCCGAAAACTCCAACCGCGCTTATCATTAGAATCCTTAACCTGGAAAATGTTCATAATCCATACTCATAAATCTAATTAACTCCAATTACTATCTAAACAATAATCAATTATTAATAATCAGATCAAGTAACATTTTCCAGCATTTATAAACAGCTCCATCGCATCCATTGCTAATCCTTAGATCAAACTTCAAAGATCACAAAAGAACAAGAAATTCAAAAAATAGTTCTCCTTCTCAAGAGCATTATCTTATCCAAAACCACCTTGTACATAATCAATTACGAACCTAAGCTATCATAACTGAAAATGAATGAAATCTTCAATATAAATCCAAATATAGAAAGAGGAAGAAAAAAAAAAAACATGAAACAACAAATTCATCAATGCAATAACCTTACATAAAGACAACAACAACAACCGAAGTTCGTAACATCGTGAACACAAACAACCTCGGATCACACAAAAACAAAACCAAAAAACACAGAAACATACAAATCAAAAACATATTAAAATTAAACCTCGGAATCCGTCAAAGACTTCACCTCAGAAACAACTTGTTGATCTTGTTCTTTATCAGCAGCAGCACCACCACCGCATGTGATTAGTCTCAAACAGGAGCTGGATTTCACCATCGTTATGTGTGTGTTTCACACTCTTGTTCTTTTTCTTTTGCGAACAAAACAAGAACAACTACGCAGTTACCATATGCTATGTTGGAAAATGCAACAACGGTAAGTTTAAAAAACACGGACCTCAAAATTCTTGTTCAATTTACCTTAATGCTTTGCTTTCAAGTCCGTCTTCCTTATTTTCAAATTTTAAATTTTTTTCTTAAACTAATATACTAACTCTTTCCTTAAATAAATACATTTAAAGAAAATAAAAAAAACTAACTAAAGTATAAAATGAAATAAATGGTGTGATATATATATATTGAAATTATGTTACTTTTTGGATTGAAGTACTAGTATTAATAATGTTTAGCTTTATGGTAGTATGTTAGATTTAAAAAGGGAAATTAGTGATTATTACTGGTTGAGAATGTTGAATTAGTCTTTGGTTTTGTTGTTGGAATCAGTGGCGAGAAACTCACTCTTTATGAAGTAAAGATATTTTTATTTTACGAAAAGATATAGTACTATTACGTTTACCTTGACCAAAAAAACAAATACTATTACGTCTACGCTTTACACATGGTGATGTAGCTGTTTGATGAATGATTCTAAGATAACTGTTACTATATTTTGGTATATAATAAGATAGGATAAGCATTGCACAGTTTAGGTTCAATTTTTACAACTTAACGCTGATTGCTACCAATTTGGTTAATAAAACATATTTTTTTTCCTTTCAGCTTAAATGTAATAAACTTGAATATATTTTTTAAAAAATTGAAGCAAGACTAATTTATTTAGGACTTTGTTGTATACTATAATTCTCTCCGACTTAAAAACTAATCTATATAATTTTATGTAAAAATATATTATTCATAGAAAAAACAAATGAGTGTAAGTTTTATCATTTAAATTTTGTTGTTCCTTTTGAATTATATTAACAATGTTTGTGTGATTTATTTGAAGATCAAATCATATTTAAATTTGAATTTGAAATATAACAAATCATATTTTTTGTTGGAGAGATTTATGGAGCAAATCAAATCCAACTAATTAAGTTATTATTGTGAACGAATTAAATGCAGAGTGTTGCGGTGGAAATAGGATATCAAACTATTAATTAGCTTTAATCACAATTTTTTGATTCACAACCGCTCTTTGATTTATCCGAAGGAAAATGTCAAAAGGAAAAACCTATTTTGGCATTGTAAACACAATGCGGGGAGAGACCTAGGTAAGGGGTTGGTTAAATTTAGGGAAGGTACTAACACCCTAAACTTCTGTAGTACTCTATAGGAACCTTTTGTTTATTGTTTGCCTTTTATTTTTATTTATTATCTGCTTTAATATATATTGAGCTAAGGGATAGAGTGACCTAAAGACCTAAGGGTTAGTCCTAAGTTTACTCGGCAAGACGTCGCATCTTGTGCCTACGTATCCTGGATAGGGAATGAAATCAGAGTAATCGTAGTTCCCCTTGAAAGGGAGGTTAGAAACATCTTGACTGTGGTCAAAGTTTCAAGGGGAGTAAACGTATCTTAAGGACACACTTACGTGGAGTTTTGAAACTCCTATTTCTATGTTGAAAAGTTGAATTAAAATTAGGGTTAAAATTAGGGATTGACTAAATGTTTCACGGCGGGAAACCCTAAAACAGAGTACGGCGACTCTTTGACCTACTGCTAGGGTAAAGGGCATTTTCGTCCACGGCAGGACGCCTAGGCTATTAGGATTTAAAATGGTCCAAAGGGTTGAGACTATTGACTCGGCGGTCAAACGGCTAGACCTAATTCCTTCGGAGGGAGCATTACGGTAAAAATATGCAAACAGACAAAATATCATACAGCAAAATTAAAGTGCGGAAAGTAAAGAAAGCGTCGCAACGATCACTTGCGTAAATTACAAATTCCCAAAAACGAAAGACAAAATAAAAACTGCGACCATGGCCTCGCGTAAATTACATCCATGAAAACAGATACAAATATGATAATGAAGCATTTAACTAATGATAAATGAAATTAAACGTAATCAGCTGAAAAAAAACAAAAAGGAGAACGTTAACAGGGTTAGACAGAAATAAAGCGGATAATGAGACAGTGAAGGAAAAAATACAAATTTCTAATTCTCTTTATTGTCTTTAATAACTTTTAAAAAAGACCTTAAGTTTTTTTTAAAAAAAAAGAAATTAATTAATTTTAAATTTAAGAAAAAGGTTCTAGTTTTATTAAAAAGTTTTTTAATTTTTATCTTTAAAAGAGTTTTAATTTAAAAAAGGTTTTAAGTTTTTATTAAAAAAAAAGTTTAGTTTTTATTTTAAAAAGAGTTTTAATTTCATATCCAAAAATATTTTAGTTTAAGTTTTAAAAAACTATTTTATATTTTAAAAAATCAAAGTTTCAATTAAAACAAAATTAATCTCATACCTAACTTTAAGTTTTTGTTTTTTAGGAGTTTTACCTTTGTATTTAAATAAAACTTTAATTTAAATTAAAAGATTGTTTTACATTAAATTTTAAAAAAATGATTTATATTAAATTTTAAAAAAAACTGATTTACGTTAGATTTTAACAAAAATTGACTCATGTTAAGTTTTAATAAAATGATTTATGGTTAGTTTCAATGAAATGCTTTACGGTTAGTTTCAATGAAATGATTTAATTCCCATTAAGTTTGTTAAGAGATCTTAATTTACATTAAATACATATAAGAATAAATAATAAATAAAAGACAATAAAAAATAAAATAAATTGAAATAAGGGCCAGCACATAACAAGGAAATACGGATGGCCCAAATGCAGCATTTGGGATTTGGAAAATTCATCTTCCTCTTCTCAAATCGGCGTCGTTCCACATTTCTCTACAGAGCTTCTTCTTCTTTTTGCCGCTTGCATGTGATCTTCCCATCTTTGCTCACTCTCTTCTTCCATTTCCAATCTGAAACAACAATGAAAAAAAGACAAGAGTATTATTTGAGAATGGCTTACGGTTTCGCTGATGATGAAAGCCTTCTGGGACCGCAGCTACGTTCGAATCTGCGGTGGATAATGACTTTCGCTGTTGACGGTTGCCTCTTCGCGTGAGGACGGTTCGTGGTGGTAGTGAGGCCTTCGAAAGCTTCACGGTCGTCGTTGGCTCGTCGATGATGAACGGTAGTGGTACCGGCGAAATTCGTGTCGAACGAGGATGAAGACCGTCGTGCCTCTGAGTTAGCTTCTGAGAGGTGATGATGAAGATGATCCACTTGGATCTCCTGAACCTTTGATTTGCCGCCGTTTCGGTAGGGTTCCTTTTTTTCACTGATGAACATTACTGCTTTTATATTGTTGTTCTGGGCCAAAATTCTGGGCTTGCATATTGTTGGATTGAAGCATTTCCTGGAGATTTTGCCGTTGTGAACTCGATCTCGAGGGTTTTTTTGTTGACTTCTGAACTTGCATGCGGATTTTATTAGGTGTTGACGGTTCTTTTGGGCTTTGTGATGTGCAAATTTGATCTTTCTCTTTCTGATGAGTCTTGTGTCAAATCCGTTCAAAACGGAGAGATTCTCGGAGTGTTCGACGGATTTTTGTGTGATTTCTGGAATTTGTTTTTTTTTCGGTTTATTATCTGAACTGGTTTTTTGGATTACTTATGAACTGGTTAACTGGACTGGCTTTTTCGATTTATTATCCGAACTGGTTTTGTTTATTCATGAACTAGTTTGTGAACTGTCGGATTCCTGAACTGCTTTGCTTGCTTGATTTCGTCTGAATTGATTTCCTCGGAGGATTGGAGTTAAGGTCCCAATGGGGCAAACCGTCCTCTTGAGAAAAAAATCAATCCTCAAACTGACTTTTTAAATAAGCTCTTTTTAGCCAACAACTTATTTTCGAAACCACTTTTCCTCTTCATCTTTCGGTAGCCTCGGAAATGATAAGAACAAAAATCTGCCATGATCTGGCCAAGGTCGCGAACCGGACACCCGATGATGACATTGTTCAGAGGGTTGTCAATTTAACCAATTAAGTTTGCTTGCTTTGCTCGTTTTGCAGATTCGAAAAAGTCGGAAGAACGGAGGATCGGAAGATGTCGGAGAAAATCAGAAGCTTTAGAATTTTAGGAAATTATTATTTTATTTTTGTAATTTTGTACTTTATTATTTTGTTATTATCATTATTTTTGTAAAGATTATTAGTTCTAATAAAACTCTTTAATTTTAGATATTGTGAAATGCAACTTTTGTGTAAATAAATGAAAATATAATTATTTAAAATTAAATTAAATTAAACATTTGAAATAAAATTACTTTAAATGAAATGAGATAAAAGTTTTAAACTAAAATTGAGATAGAATCTTAAATGAAAACATTTGAAATGACATGAGATAAAACTAAAATGAAATATTTGAATGGAAATGAAAAAACAACTTAAATGAGATTAATTAGAATGCACTGAGATGAAATTTAAAATGAACATATTGAATTGAAACAAGATGAAACTAAAATGCAAATATTTGAATGGGAATGAAATGAAAATTTAATTCTTTAAAACAAATGAGATGAGGATAAGTTAGATCCAATTTAAAAAAAAAATAATTTAAACTAGAAAATAAAAATTGAAATGAAACTATTTTTGTTCTTTTGATTTTTAAAATGAAATACAATGCAATGCAAATGATTCAAATGAAATGAAAACGAAATAAAAGTACATATTCTTATTAATTTTTGATACCTCCACTTATCCGACTACTCCCATTTTCGACACAAATTCCGATTAAACTTCAACAACCAGATCAAATGGTCCAAATTTCCTGCCCAAATTAAGTGGTGGCTGGTGATAGAAGCGGTACCGACCTTGAACGAAGTAAAACAGCAAAAAAAAACAGAGAAATCCAATTAACAGTGAACAGAACTAAACTTCGCACTAAAAAATCAGTTTATGTTTCTGACTAATAAATCCAGTGCCATGAACCAACTCGGCCAAAAATTTAAATTAAATAAATGTAACAAATCCCGACTTGAGTCAATTTTGTACCGCTTT